AGTATATACAGTCTCATTAGCTAGAACTAAATTTTTAATAAAAGAAAAATATTCATTAAACACCATATAGTTAACCTCGTAATGATTATAACTGTTACAACAATTGTTACTATCAAATCGGACAAAGACGTCAGCACACCTATTCCCTTCACTAAACACGTGAAGCATGCATTGATCTTCAAGATTTTTCATCAATTTTCTGTAATCAAAAACCAGAGGAAGTATAACAAGATTAGTCACCTGGTGATTCTTAATCATGGAGATAAAATGGTGACATCGAGTTCAATTTTTAACTTGTGGATCTTGAGTTTTTTCGTCCAAAATAATCTATCTCTGAGAGCCCACAATTCAACCAAAATATTTGAACACACCCCAATATATCTAAAGGACCCAAAAATCTATTTTCTATCATTGTCTCGAATAATGACTCTAGCTCCTGCTTTCCCAGGGTTATCCAATGTCGAGCCATCTGTGTTCAATTTATACTATCCTTCATTGGGAGGGTTCCACCTAATGGACACAAAAGATTGCAACGGAGCCCGAATTCCTCTCTGGTTCATCGTAAAGAATTCAGCAGCCTTCATAGTCGTCAATTTCACCAAGTCAGCGATCTCACCATTATGTCTAAAATTATTTCTATTCCTTTCAAGCCAAATCTCTCATAGAATATGGATAAACAACAGGTACCAGGGGATACCATGCATGGATCGATGCTTGTTTAAGGTATTTTCTTTGATCCATTATTTACAGTCTAAGATTTGATGGGATAGAGGCAAAAAGGCTCCTCGCCAAGGTAGCCTATATGTTTCTGGTCCACTGGCAATTGTAAAATAGGTGTTCCAAATCCTTTTGGTCATGCATGCAGAACACACAAGTAGTCGAAACATTTAACCCTCTTCTAGCAAGCTCATTACGTGTAGGCAAGATACAACGCATACATTGCCAGATGAAAAACTTAATTTTTGACAGAGCACGCATCTTTCAAATCCACTCCCATTGACCTTTTTTTCTCGTTCAGACTTATTCCTCTAGCAAGGTCATAAGCAAATTGGGTAGTGAATATCCCACTAGAAAATGCAGACCAATATATACTATCTTGTCTCTGTCCACCAGTTGAGTAGAGATAACATTTATCTTATCCAGAACATCAGCATTGAGTTTGTAAAGAAATTGGAAGAGGTTGATTATTTTTTTAATGCATTCAGACACTAACTCATTAAAATTTGATCCTCCTGCCAATTAAGAGGGTCATGAACAGTATTTCTTAAACTTTCGACCCCAACCAATTATCATGCCAAAAGCTCATAGAAGAGCCATCACCAATGACCCAGCCAATACTTTTTTCAACAATCAAACCTGCCCATCTCATGGTTTTCCACGTCGTCGATACTTTAGAAGCTTTTCTCAAAGTACCATTTTCTTGGAGATATTTTCCTTTCAGCGTTTTAACCCACAAAACATCCTTTTGATGAAGAAATCTCCAAACCAACTTAACTAACTATGCTTAGTTTTGAGCTCGAATCTCTCTCAAACTCAATCCACTTTCATTTTTTTTCTTGGTCACTTCGTTTTAGTTAAGCAGGTGCAATCTCTTCTTATCCCCATTTTTTTCCCATAGAAAATCCCTGTTAACCCTGTCCAACTCATTTGAAATGCTAACTGGAAGGGCTTTACATTGCATATAATAACTGGGGATGCTTTTCATAGTCGACTTGATCAGCACCATTCTTTCTGTAGGAGAAAGCAAATTTATCTTTCAACCAGCTAACTTTGCTCTGACCTTGTTAACAATGAAAGCATAATCATTTTTACTAACTCTCCCTTTATGGATAGGAAAACCCAGGTATCTTCCAAGATCAAGGGTTTCGTTAATGCCCAAAAATTAGTAATATTCTTTTTGTAGTCTTGTCTAGTGTTGGCAGAAAATAAAACTCTAGATTTCTCCAGATTGATGGTCTGCCCAAACTCACCACAAAATGCCATGAGAACCTCTTACACAGACTTGACAGTTTTTCCTTCTGCTCTGCGTAGAAGAATAATGTCATCCACAAATATAACATGAGAAAGCATAGGGCCATTTCGTGAACCTTTAGTAGGCTGCCATTTATGGTCTTTTATAGCTTCAAAATTTTTAGACTTAAAAACTTCATACACAAAATAAATAGATAAGGGGATAAAGGATCCCCTTGTCTCAATGCTCTGGAAGGCTTGAATTTTTTCAGCATTCCTTTATTCATCAAAATGGAAATAAATAAGGATGAGACACAGCTCATGATAATGGAAATCCAGGACTTTGGTAAATTGAAAAAAGTAAGCACCTTCCTAATAAATCCCCATCATCATCATCTAATTTATTCTACTTATTTTTGGCTTTTTGTTAACCATTGTTCTTCAAGTATTATTTAAGATCATTAGATCATATTTAGTGTATAAAAAAATAAATATGATAATATAATAATTAATTTATATTATATTTAATTTATATCTGATTGAAAAAAATAAAATTATAAGAAGAATTATTATTTTGTTGATATAAAATGATTTAATTTTTTTAAAGTAGAAAAATTATTCTTTTACTTTAAAATAAACTTATATGTATTATTATATATTTAAAAGTTACACAAATAATTTAAATTATATAAATTTTTAAAAAATATAATTTTGACAATAAATAAATTATTTTATCTTAATTCTTATATACATCAAATATAAGATATTACAATATTATTTAATTTAATCTTATTTATAATATTATCTTATCCTATTTTATTATAATTTTATGTATAAAAATGACCTTTATATATTATTATTATATATAATAAGCTTAAAAGTTGCTCTTATGGCATTTTAACAAAATCCTTATCTTAATTTTGTTTTCAATTTATAATATATTACAATCAACAATCTCAATTGTCAATCAAGTATTCACTTGGGCAAATGCAATCTTTGTTTTTTTTTTTTTTTTTACTTAGAGAAAGGATAATGATTTACATAATTTTTTGTATCTTAAACTATAAATTATTACGTATATTTCATTCCTACCACGTCGATTATTATTATTTTAATTTTGGTTTTTGAAATAAAAAATTAATAATTAATAATTGGTCTTCGGTAATTCAATTCAAATATTCAATGCTCTACTTTTTTTTTTATTATCTTAATTAATTTGTCTATATTAAACAGTTTTGTACCCATTTACCCTTCATATTTGCATTAAAATCCAAGTTTTTTTTTTTTAAAGACAAATAACATACCACAGTTGAGTAATAAAGCAACATAGATATTATTTAAAACAATTGAAGCACGTGATATATTTTTCTAGCATTAAATTTTAATAACTTTTACATGAATTTTACCTCAACGTAAAAATAAATAGAATAATACCTATAACATTATTCGCAATAATAAAGAATTAGTTACTAAACAAAAAAGTTGGTATAGTGGTAATTTGGGTGGTTGCAAGTTGCAAGTTGCAAGTAGGAAGGACAAAATGATGAAATTAAAGCTTGTGGTAATGTCGGCACAGTATAAAATTACAAGGAGTCCACTGAAATGTTTTGGTGATTGTAAAAAGGGAATTTATTACGGTAAATTAAGGCACTTGGCTCTGCTTATTAATTTCAGGCACCAATGCTTTTCATGTAGCTTAGTTTTGAATTTTGTTTGGGACGTACATACATACATATTTTGCTAAATTGAATTCAAAAAAATAATAATAATAATAATAGAGGAGACAACCCTAATTGCCATCTGAAATATTTGGAAGCAAAAAAAGAATGAGAAAACAACATTCAAACAAATAACTGCCCCGACAACACTTTAAAAGAGGCACGCGGTAAATTCACCTTAATTTCTCTTAACAGGTAAAAAAATTGATCATCACGTGGCGTAATTAAAAGTGGGTACGTTCAATCGGTGCAGCAAAAGCAACATAATTTTTTTTTTTTACTTTTATGACTGACTGCCGCTGTGATTATCCCCTCCTCATCAGACGGCCCATATTTACTACTGGAAAAACCGGTTGTTGAGGCCAATCAAAACTCGTGGGCTACTCTAATAGGCACTAATAATTTTAAACCACGTGTCAATTCAATGCGTGTAAATCTCATCAAAAACACCTCCCGGCTACTCCCTAGCATGGTCATTAAATAAGTAAAAGAATTAAAAAAAGAAAATAAAAAAAAACTCCAAGTTCAAGGTTGCCTGCCACGTTAGTCCCAGCTGTAAAATGACAAAAATATTAGGTAAATGGTAAAATTTTCCAGCTGTATAAACTGCATGTTTTTTTTCCCAATTGTATAACGGTTTGTTGAGTTAAATAAATCTCAGTGATACCAAAAAAAATATAATTTAAAATTTAACAAAATAGAATATATATTAGATAAAATTAAAAATATACTTTATATTTTATATTTTATAAATGTTTTTTGGAAATAAATACTGCACACATACAATACATACAACAATAATCAATCTATGGCTTCTTTTAAATGACCTAAATGTCAACGACAGGTAAAATGAAGGAGAAACGGTTGATTTATTAGGAATAAGGGAGGCAATTAATAATCCTTAACCACCATTTCTTACCATTATTTTTAGTCAAAGAGGGGACTGACCTGAATGTCCGGTGTCACGTAACATGAATCCCTGATTTGAAGAAGAAATCTAGTTAGCTTAGCAGCATCCTCGGTTCACCCTTTCCCTTGATCTTTTGGTGTTCTGGGGACCACTACCACGTGCGAATCTTAGTTGCACATATTTTGCGGCGCCTCGTAAAATATCTCTGCATCGCCGGAATCTCATAATCGCCGATTGACCCACCCTCTCACCCCCAGTAAAAAAAATTCTCTACTTTTTTTTTTTTTTTTAAGTTCATAAGAATAAAGAAAGCAAAAAAGCAAAAGCAAAAAATTAAAAAATAAAATAAAATTGGCACTAAAACCGGGTGAGCCAGTTTCGGCTGGCTTGGCAATCCTATAAAACAGTTCAACTTTCCATATACACTTCAAATCTCTGCATCATTTTTTTCTCCGGCTCTTTACTCTCTTATCTATCAAAAGTGCTCTTCCTCACTCTCCATATATTTTCTCTTTTCGAGTTTCCTCTGAGTTTTTTCCGTTCTTTTATTTTCTGGAGAAAGTATCGTCAGAAAGCTACTTGGGTTCTTACTTTCTTTTAAGACTTGGATTTGAAAGTTACCCAAAATAGCAAGTTCGTGGTCTGTTAAATGACTGGGAAAAGCATTGTCTGGTGATTTTTCGGTAATTTATTCTCTATCTCTTTTCCGGTAAAGCTATTTGCTTACAGCATCTTCTCTTTTCTTTTTCCCCAACTTTTTGCCTATAAAAATTTCTTTTTTTTTTTTTTTCTCCCATCTCTCTATTACTGGTTCTTACCATATCGGTGCTTTCCGTACTGCTTGTTTCAAGCACACTCTTTTTTCTTTTTTTTTTATAACTTTCCTTGAAATTTATCGTCGTTTGATAAACTTTTGAGTAAGCTTTGAACCGATTAATGGTGGATTTCTCTTCATTTCAAGCTTCTCTTTAACGTGTTCTTTCTTCAGCTTTCCTTTTTTTAGCCCTTTATTCTCCTCGTGTCTGGTCTCAAAGGAATCTTTTCTTTTCTCCTTACTCCTTTTTATTTCACTCCTTTTCTACTCTCACTCTCACTCTCACTCGCAATGAGAAAAAGTGAAAGAATCTGAAAACCCAGAAAACCGGAGAAGAAAAGAAAATGGATCATTGCCCTGTTCCTTCAATCAAATACACAGAACACCGCAATCAAACCAAGCTCCTTTCACCACTGTTAAATGTCAGACTCGAAAATCAGCCAGAAATGAAGCCTCGAATTGTTCGGCTTTCAGTTACCGATGCTGACGCCACTGATTCCTCCAGCGAAGAAGAAGAAGAACAAACAACTCGGCTTCGTTCTAGAAACAGAGTCAAGAAATTCATCAACGAGATAACCATCGAGTCATTATCCCCCGGCCAAAACGAGGCCGCTTGGAGAAGTAAATCGTCGTCGTTGTCAAGGAGTTCTCGAAAAAGGGCGGCGGCTGCTGCTGAAGCAAAAGCTAAAGCGCCGGCGAAAGAACCGGCTATGAAGAAGTTCAGAGGAGTAAGGCAACGGCCTTGGGGAAAATGGGCGGCTGAGATCAGAGACCCGCTAAAACGTGTACGGTTATGGTTAGGTACCTATGATACCGCCGAAGAAGCAGCAATGGTTTATGACAACGCGGCTATTCAGCTGCGTGGACCAGACGCGCTGACCAACTTTACGACTCCTCCCCAAAAATCAGTTCAAGACAAAAACACTCAAAATCCGTTATCCAGCTCAGATTACAACTCCGACGGAGAATCTCACAACACTAACCTTTGCTCTCCGACTTCCGTTCTCTGCTGCCCTTCGGTTTCGATGGACGAAGTCGACTTGCAAAGCGTCAAAGAATCGCGGGAAATAGGGAGCGAACCACGAGATGCTCTCGGCGTTTCTTGCTGCATAACGAGAGAAAACTTCACGGATTTCTCCGATTATTCCTCTTTGATTCAAAGTGAAATATTTAGTTCAGTGCCGGATTTGTTCGACGATAATACTATACACGAAGGATTTTTAAAAGATGATTTCGCGAGCGGACTTTTCAGTTCGGGTGGAGATTTGGAGTACGGATTTGGTGGCTTGTCGAGCTGGCAACATATCGATGATCATTTCCAAGATATCGGGGATTTGTTCGGGTCGGATCCTCTGTTAGCCATTTGAGAGTGTGTTTCTAATTTGTTTTGCTCATGTAATGTCGGTTTTACGGCAAGTTTTGAATCGGCGGGAACTGAAAATATCGGCTGTGTTTGTTTTGTTTTTGTCCTTTGTCTGTTCCAATTTTGTTATCGCTAAATAATTTCAATGATTTGGAATGTTAATTATTGAGATTAAGAATATTAAATATCCACGTCACAGTTAACGGTGACGGACGAGTTTGGCGACGTGTTCGAAGCTATGTCTTTTATGTTCTTTGTTGTTGTTGTTTTTTTGTGAAAAGGCACGTGCTGTTTCACGTGACAAAAACATTTCAAAATGTTTTTTCCTTGATGGTAATAATAAATGTAGTAGTCAAGATTTAAGAACTTAGATTCTTATTAACTGTATTCTTATTAACTGTATGCACCCGTGCTGTGAAACGGTTCCATGCACCTTATTATTATTATTTTTTTTACTTTTAAAAATAGTCACCCCTCTCTCAACTGTTAAATACATGCATGTTATTTTCAGTGGCAATGATTTACTATTTTTTTTTTTTTCAAGGGGAGCAAAGGGAGAGTGATTGGGGTCGAACTTTAATCTTATATTTTTTTAAAATTTTATTTGATCATTAAATCAAGTAATTGAAGATAATAATAATTTATTAGTTATTACTAGATATTTGTCCATTTCCACCGCAGCTCACCAGGTGTTGAATTTTCATAGCGAAAGCAAACAAAAAAATATATATATATAGTTTTTGGATAAGATTGAATTTGATTTCAATGTTTCCACGTTTCATCACTCTATGCTTACAACACAAAAATATCATTCGATATGATTGGGGATTTCGCATTAGCTTTCATTAATTCACAATAATATTATACAACTTTCTCACCTTTTATTATAATTGCTTGTCTATGTCGATACTTAATTAAAGTTTTATACTTTAAAATGGGGTTTAAATTTTTAAAATTTTCTACGTATATTGATATTAGAAAAATACCATTTATTCTTTTTTTATCATTTTCGAACATTTTTATTTGCTGAAGAATTAAAGTTGTATTGATCACATAGGAATATTTTATGTACTGCTTTTTGCCTACTTTTTAATTAAAAAATGTTGTGGTCTAAAAATAAGAGAATTTGTAATTACTAAAATTTGAATTTTTAAGATATTATATACTTACCTGAATTGGGAAACACAATCTTTTTCCTTTTCCAATTGAAATCATTAATCGAATGATATAATGTTTGTTCTATCTTATATCTCTGTCAGAATAAGCAATTCATTATATGTAAAATTAAAAAAAAAAAAAAACATGTATGTCACCGAAAAGTTGGTAATAGTAAAAAAATAAACTAAAAACATCACTCGTACGCTTTAAAGGACTAAAAGCGAATAAGCAAGCACCACCATTGATATTGCTCCCTATAATGGGAGAAAAGCAAGCTTTTCCCATGTCAACTATAGTTACAAGAGAATAAATCAACTTTAACAAGATGAATCAAATCGTGAAACTTCATTCTCATCTTCTTCATTAAAATTTGACCTCTTGAGAAATGAATCTGGAACAAAAGCTGGACAAAATTAGATATGCAGGGGCGGCTTAACAACACTAGAAATTAAGAAAGATTGGCAATTATGATGCTTTGAGAGTTGAGACATTACGATTTGTTTGGAAATGCATAGAATCGTGACAAGGTAAAAGAAAGGACAGCGACCTGACGGGTGTGGCGGACCCTAGGGCGGTTCAATTTTTGGGTCCCTTTCTCTTATAGTGTTTGTCTGTTGGTGAATCAAAAGTTATTCATCATCTTTGGGCCAAACTGGGCATCAGTCAACACTTCGTCATGATGTGGGCTTTTAATCCTCTCAAATTACTTTTGTGAGATTCTGGCAAAATTAACATGTGATTATCCTAAAAAATTGAAGTAGTGGATTTGGTTTCATTGCTATTTCGTATAACCTGACTGGTAACATCCACTATTTATAAACCAACAACTAGACAAGTAAAAATAAATCATGAAACAGGTTTCAATGGTTTGATGAAATGTATCAAATTGTGGTCCCATGATTAGCTCGAGGACTACAATTGTCACAAGATTTTGGCTTATTACAACTGATAACTCCGGTCCTCTTCCTGAACCATTGCAGCACCAGAAATTTTCTCCTGCTTTACACAATCCCCACAATGCTAAATCCAAGAGTATATTAGCTAATGCTTCATTGCCCTCATCCAAAGAGGTGGTAAAATTTATTAAATAGAAATTGTCATTATTCTAATATAGTTACACTACACTGCCTCATACCTGCCCACACGCAGACTCAACTTTCCTAACATGACAAACATACTCTTAAATCCCATAATGTCTTTTTCTTTGTTTTTTTATCTTTGTCTATGTAATTTTTCTGGGTTTTCTAGTCCCATTTGCCCAGCAATGTCCAAAACTCCAAACCGGTGTTTGATAAATTTCGGGCAAGCGGTTGGGATTCAGTAAGAGGGAGAGAAGAGATGTCATTGTCTAGTAGATTTTGGCCAATTTGAGGGGGTGGTAGGTTTGCAGGCTTTTGTAATCACAAAGCCATGAAAATTTATTGAGTGGCAGAACCTATTGGGGGAGAGCCCTACAACTGGGATTTTTCTGCATCTTTAGCTTCTCAGTTGATGAATAAAAGACGGTAAAATCTTTAAGTCATGGGTCATTTTTTCTGGGAATTTGATTTTTTTGGGGCCCTCAGTCCCTCGAGATCATACAGATAACACTATCATTTACTTTTCTCATCAAAAACTCCCCAACCCCTTTGTTCCATAATGAAAAAAAAAAAACCTTCTATTGGATTTTAACACTTGTCATGTCCTTTCTTGCTTAAATACCAAAAACGACTAAAGACATTCTTATTTGTCAATGGTTTGAGTTGGATTTGATTTAGAATTAGAAAAAAAAAATTATAAGGAGTTAAGTGTTGCAAATTTGGAGTAGAATGGGGTCAAACCACCAACAAATTCCATGCTTCCACTTGCAGATATCTGATACGTCTTTTTTCTAATCTTATCCTTTTTTTTTCCAAAACATCTCAATGAAAGGGAAGAAAAAGAAAACCCAGAATTTCTGTCTTTTCTACTTTTCCCAAAAAAAAAAAAAAGAGAAAGGGTTATATTTTGACTAGTTTTGCGTTTGGAGGAAGCATTGCTCTTGGAAGGAATAAGACGCCTAGGGCGGGCAGCAACACAAAAGAAAAAGGTGTTTGTTTGTATTTGTGCAGGTGGCACGAAATTCCAAAACTTTGCAGATTCATTAAAAAAAAAAAAAGCTGAAAAGAAAACAAACCAGAAGATCTTCTTGTTAGTCTCCAGCTTCCTACTTTGAAATTCAATCATGGCCGTATATGTAATGTCAGGTTAACGGTCTTCCATCTCCCCGTTTAGTGCAAGTCGTGCAACTGCGCTCCCCTCCCCTGCAACACCACCTGGTCCATGGTCCCCACCCTTTGTTCCAGCTCAGCCATGAGTATTTTAATTGTTTTTTCCTCCCAGGCTGATCCCCCTGTGGTCCCACTTGTTTTTCCCGTCTCATCCGCCCGATTTGGACCCTCCATTTTGGAAAACTGTGGCTCATTGGGACATCCACATAAGCATGCTGGCCCATCATTTAGTGGGCTTCTTCATGTTTCTGTGACCCCCTTCAAAGAAATTTAACCCAGAAACTTAGAAATTAAAATTTGTTTTTATAAAATATTTTTAATTTGTTATAACAATTCAAAAAGTCTGGATTTCTGTAATCCAGATGAATGTGACAATTATTACCGGAGCAGGATTGGACATTGACGAAAATTGCGTAAAAAAGTACAAACATTTGAAAAGAAAAATTAAAAATAAAAAGAGTGAAAAGAGAGCGGTGGAGGGGGACAAAGAGGTTTGAGTTGGGGATGTTTGAAGGGTGAGGTGGTCACATGAAATATGTATGATCTTTGCATCTTAGATTCCGGTGATTCTTTTTTCTCCATCCTCAACTAGGCGACAAAGCAAAAATGCTGAGAGGCCCCATAGAGCAGCAACTTGCAAGTGCAAGTGGAAAAAAAAAATAAAAAATAAAAAGGAAAATGAGGGTAGGGCCATACAATCACCTCCTACTCATGTGATGCGTGTGGAAAAGCAGGCAGGTAGGGCCGTAGTAGGGGTGCTAAGGGAGGTCTCTTTCACCTACCGACACAACAGTGAATGACACGACATGCACAGAGACTCCAGGGTATACGCAACAGCTCCTAAGAAAATAATCCTCTGTTAAATTTTATAAGCAACTTTTACGAAAAATTAAAAGTATAAATGATACATTAATATTTATAAATTATTTGAATTTGATTCAAATAAAATTTAAATTCTGTTTGATTATTATCAAGTCGAACTTAAATTCGAGTAGCTCAACTTATCAATTGAATCGAGTTCAAATATTTTTATACTTAATTCGAATAGTTCGTGAGTCTAATTAAATTTTTATATTTAAAATTTTTTAATTATTTTAATTAATAAAATATTTCAAATTCGAGTTCGAGCTCGAGCACAAATAATTAAATTTTTATCGAATATAAAAATTAAATTTATTTTAACATATTAATCAAGCTTAATCGAGTAAGTTCGAATAGCTCAATTTCGATTACGAATCGAACTTAAACTAAAAAAATAAAACTTGATCGAGTTTGAATCGAATATCGAACTTCAAATTAAAAATCAAACTCAAATTCAAATTTTTTATTATATCAATTTGACTGGATTCGATTACACTCGCATGCAACACATCGCTCCCATTCTCGACGTCCGTTTGGTTTGCATTTCTTCGATATCTAGTATCTTTTCCATAAAATAATGGCGGTCCCCTTTTTCCAACACCCGCATTCGGCACTCCCCTAGCTTCTTAACTCTTTAATTAAATCGAAAGAAGCAAATTAAATTTCTCTTTTCTTTTGGGTATTTATAATTGTTCAAAACAAGTGAGTTAATTGATCCATCACTGACTGTTTCGGCTAGAGAATCAGCTTTTCTCTCGGTGGTTTGGTCTTTTGAACATTCAAACGGTGGCCCAGGGCTAAGTGGAGTGTCTGTTTTGTAACCCAATTCAATCCTTGGAGCAGGGGCCCGCTAGGCTTAACTGGACAATTGTTATTCAATTGGGAGATTCTCCTTTTATCAGTCCATTCAATTTCCAGTCTCAGTGTCTCGCTTCAACAAGTCCACATGGTTATTGAATATGGTGATGCATTGATATGGAGGCCCATTTTTTACAACTGGAAATTTGCATGGGCTAAAATGCTTAACACAATCACCAATTAGATAACAAAACTTATATATTTTCAGTCCGGCCCAAAAGCAATTGATATAGGCTAAAAGAAAAGGGTGCACATTGATTTGACACTGCCTACCGGAAAACAGCGGGCGCAGAAACTATTAACAAATCCATTCCTTTCCTGTTTCTGTGTTCAACCAAACAGTCCTCGTCAAGCCTTGTCTTGGGTCTGTTCTGGAACCTAAAACCCTAATACCAGAACCCAAGAGAAAACCAGAAAGAAACATGGCGGAGGCACGTGCTCAGCCCGTGTGTGCGCAAGAAGCTCTGGATTTACTAAATTGTGTTACGCAATCTCCCTTTGATAAAGAAAAATGCATCCGTCTCTTGCATTCTCTCAGAGAGTGTGTCCTCAATAAGGTACTATTTCTAATTCTTAGACTTTTTCTTCTATAAATTCCATTTATGATAGTGATTGCCTTTGTTGAATTAAATTTCATTTTACCGATGACTGATGAAACTTTTAATTTTATTAATTATAAATTAATAGTTTGATGAACCCGTATTGGTCAATTTTGTGTTGGTTATAATATCCAAATCCCTAATGCAGTATCCCTAATTGCTTCAATTAAAGTCACTGGCTTTTGACATGTGAAACTGGGTTTCATGGTTGCTATGGCATTCAGCTCTTTTGAACAAAAACCTTTGTATGAATTATGATATTTGGAGGTTGCTTTATTCAGCTATTATTAGAATTGGGTGCTTTAGCAGAATAGCCTTTGGTTATGCAGAAACAATTTTGACTTTGTGATGATGAATGATGATTGATGGATTCTTTCTTTTTGGATAAATCTAAGATCTGAGACATTGTGCCCTGTGAAAGTTAATAGCTATCGTTATAAAATGCCTCTCTCGCTATTAACCTGGTGAATCTCTTCCCCATGAAATTATGAGGAAATGCATTAACTTTTCCCATTTTTCTGGTTTCTTCATTTTGGATCTATTCAAACACATCTTTGCACACATACTTGTCTTTATGGAATCTGTTCTGTGCACATGCGTATATTTAACTGCTGCTTTCCTGTGCTCTTTCTCAAAGCATTTAATTTGTATGTTCTAACCTTTTTCTTTGCAGAAAGTCAAGAAATTTTCACTAGATAACCAAGACCATCGACCTCAGGATACAAGTTCAGTTAGCAACAAAAAATGATGAAATTTTTTGTTGGGAGAATTTCTCATCAGAAGTCCTTACTGTATTTGAACATGTAATGTTGGGAAACATAGTTCTTTTTTGGATCAGTTCTTATGACAACAGATGTTCAGTCTAAAATGTCTTCCATTGTGAACTAAAATTCATACAGAATGTTGAAGTTGGCATTGTTGTTGCACTTGTTTGATGCTGGTTGAAAACTTCTTTAGAAAAGTTGAAGAGTGGTGTGTCTTTTCTGATGTTTGATTGCTCAGGCACAAAAGCTGTTTCATTTTACCAGATGCAGTTGGGATAGAGGCTGCGGCAGTCCAACATTTTCTAGTTTAGAGTCTAAACGTCAAATATATTGTGTTCTTTATGATAATATTGTTAAATCGTGATCTAGTTTGGTGCTACCATGTGCTGGATCGTTCTACCTCATACTAGAACCCCTGGATCTTTCTACCTGGTATTAGAACCTTGTAAGATTAAGTATAACAGAAGAACAGATTCGTCTTTTGGATATGGAGCAAGGAAGAAGTATATGAGTTTGAACGTGATTTTAGTTGAATTTAATTGCTCTTTGAAATTGTTTTTCTGCTGTCCTTGGGAACCATTTCTCTTAGAAGAGCTCTCCTGTCTCTGGTTATTCTTCTAATTTCCTCGGACTTTGGCTTGATGGTCCGCCTGGAGGATTTAAAATGGTTTTTTTTGGCTAATACCGAACCCTTTCTGATGTAATAACCAAAAATTCTTGTAGGGTCAGGGAGCACGTTTTGCAGCTTAGAACTATAGAATTTTCTAGGCCTGGAGGGCTTTAATTTATGAAAATCTTTAATAATAAATTCGTCCTTGTAAGTTATACCTAGCCCACTAGATCGGTTGAGAAATCTACAAATACCTAATTCTTCAATTCTTCATACAAAACTCATTACTACTACTTTTCTCAGTTGAATAATTGTATAAGTTGGATTGCTTCTTATAATTCATTAGCATCCTTGGTGTATCCTATCTTTGCCGTTCAAGCCATCATGTATTGATATATCCTTAAGAACTACTCAAAATTAAGAAAGCGCAAAGCATTTAACACTTGAAATTGCTAATAGCATGGTAGATGCCTTTTGTACTTCGCATTTTTTTGCAGAGGCAAGAACCCATATCGTCAAAGTAAAAGGATCATCATGTTGGTCATAGAACCTATAACAGCATGCATTATTATAGTTTTCCAGAGAAAGAGGGAAAAATTGAGGCAAAAATGCAAGATTTATAGGCAAAAGGGATAGTAAAGCAAATGACAATGAGAATCCCACCAAACATAAAAATGATATTATCAACATCCAGGGGGAAAAAAAAAAACCCATCAATAATTCCTCTAAAGTCACATCATCCCTTCCCCCTGAAATACCAAATCTAACAAATTCCATCTTTTTTTTTTCCTCTCACTCTCAAGTCATAAGTCTTAACTTTAATCCAAAAAGAAATCCCACCCTCATCATCCCAAGTTCCCAACTCCATTTCTATTTGCAAGCTCAAAAGCTGAAGCAGAAATCAGCAGCGTGAATGAGGTATGTGAGCACCAGCGCCACCAGCATCAATACGTATGCAATCCCTTGGTCAATCGACGTCCCTGTTCCCCCATCAAAAAGTTAAAAGTTTATATATCAAATCAAATGGCATTTGATCAAAGAAGTCAGATCTAAAGAAAAAAATAGAGAGAGAACTAACCGTCGCTTGTTGGGGCAGGGGCGGGAGCAGAGGACTGGCCCTGAACAGCAGCAGGCAAGGTAATCATAGCAAAAACAAGAGCAGCGAAAACAGCCATAAAAGAAACCCTGGAAACTGCCATTCTATCTTTCCAAAACAGAAAAATGTTCGATCTCTCCCTGCGGTGTCTCTCAAATTTAGCTTTTTTTTTTTCCGAAGAGACTCCTACAATGGCTCAGAAGAGCCTTGCAGAGAGAGAAAGAGATTGAAAAAAATATTTTTTCCTCTGTTGTTGTTGAAGCAGAACTTCTGGAAGTAACAAAAAAACCAGCGATTGTGTTTTTTATGGATGATGTGACGACGAAAGGCGAGGAGGGGTTGGACATGTTTTTATGTGGAGCGGCTGATGCGGGAAGACAAAACCGGTGGAAACGGTAATTTGGAAGGAAAAATAGGAAGAGAATTTGTGGTATGGAAACGAACCGAATGTTTCGGAGGTTCGGCTCTAGGCTGTACTTTGCTATGGGGTACTGAGTCATCCATGTGATATTTTGGATTCCTTTTCCCGCCCCTGCCTCTGCTCAGGGAATAATGATTCCATTGGGATTTGGTTCAATTTTATTTTAAAAACAATGTATAACATTATAAAATTTTTAAATTTAAATTTATTTTTTAAAATTTATTTGATATGAATTAAATTTTAATAATTTGAATTATCAATTTTTAAAATTTAAATTTTTATTGTTAATATTATATTAATATAATTATTTAAATATTTAAATACTTTTGTATATAAAATAATTTTTTATTTTATAAAAATTTAAAATATACATAAAAACTAATAAAATATATAAAGTCAATAAATAAATTTTAAATTATAATAATATGTAAATATAATATTTAAATTTAAAAAATTTTAATATAATATTTGACTTATGAATTTATTAGTTAATATCTTATTTGATAAGATTATTTATTCGTTATATATTATTTTTTTAAATTAATTACGTTAAAAATAAATATAATAATAATTAATAAATTTATAATTTAAATATTATACTAAAAATTTTATTATAATTTAAAGATTATTCATAATATTAATTAAAATAAATAATTTAATTTTTTATTATTAATTTTTGAACCAAAATCTAATAAAATTTTAATATATATTTAATATTTAAATTTAATTTAAATCAAATAAAAAAAATTATCCTAACCAAATTGAATATTATGATTTGAAATAAATTTTTTATTTTTTTTCCTCTGCCTCTGTCCATTCTGTTTCTGATTGTTTTTTTCTTTGGTTACAGACCGGAACATTAGCTGGCTTTATCTGCTTCGGTTCTGATTCGCCCGTGAGTTGTGTCCCTTTTCTTTCAGTTTTTTTTTTTTTTTTTTTACTATGGTCCTTGTGGGAAGAAAAGATTTTTTTTTTCTCATTTCCCGATTAAAACGGGTGTTCAATTTTATTTACTTAGGCTCTATTTAGATAATTGAATGGAATTAAAAACAGTAATAAAATTATTATAATAATAATTAATAAAATTTTTTATTATAATTATGATTAAAAAAAATTTTAATAAAAAATTTATATTAAATAAATTTTATTTAAATTTAATTAATATTATATTAAATTCAATCACATTACATTGAAAATACAGTTAAATTCGAACGGACACTTACTCTACCTCCCTCTCTCTCTCTCTCTCTCTAACTTATAAAAAAAAAAAAATTCTGAAACTTGCAATAATTTGATGATATTCATGTTCCAGACTGTCAATAAGAAGCCTACGACATCCGCCAAAACCCTATTGGTCGATGTAACATCGAGGCCATATTCTCCCAAAAGCAATCCCTGCACCCAAAAAACAAGAGAGGCAAAATTTTTTAAAAATCGGATTCCTTTATAATTGAATTATTAAGAAAGAAATTGGCATGAACACGCAACGTCTAATCTAACTCAAACTTATTTTATTATATAAATTTAAATATTTATATCATATAAAATATTAAAATTTATATATTTATATTATATTTTATATAAAAATTATATATTATAATTTATATTAATATAAAAATATAAAATATTTTTTTTGGTTAAATCATATAATAATTATTAAAATTTTAAATTATATTATATTCATATTTATTTTTAATATTATATTATTATATTTTAAATTATCAAATTTTTTGTTAAGTGGATTTAAATTTCTTCTTCATCAAATTAATCATTTTTAATTCAAGTGATGTTCATAATTTTACATCATTTTCTACTTATATATAATATCCTTTTTATTTTAAACTATTAATATATTAATTGGAGATTCACAAATGTATTATTATCGTTATTATAAGTTAACATTCATGCATTATAAATATATATATTTATATTTATCTGTGCTTTAGAATCTGTTGTTAACGCCAGCAAATGCCAACAATGAACAAACATTGTGTACCTTAAAAAATGTAGAATTTCTGGTAGAACAATCATTCTCTTCTCCTTTATCATTATGCACTTGAATCTTCCACAGGAAAATATTAAGACAAATGTTATTCTTTTTTCTCTTCTCATTTTTTGAACAATGTCAGGAGTATTTTTTGTTTAAAGGGTAAATTGATCATTTTTCTTATTAGAAACTGTTAGTAAATAATAAAAAATATTTTAAATTTTTAAGTTGATCTGACATATATAATGTCACGTTAATTCGATTACATCATTATTTTATTACATAATTACTCATTTTTCGTTTATAAATAAAACCATCTAAATATTATCTATAGATTTTTTTTTTTCACTTTACTTTGAATTTCTTATAGTTATAGTTGAACTTAAGCATTGAAGTGCAAAAAAAAATATATATATATTTTTTACCTTTATCTTTAATCGTTCTTTTTCACTTTTATGATTTTAGGGTTTTCACCTTAGTTTGGAGTTGACACCCAAAAAAACAACTTTCTCATTTAGTAACAAGCAAGGAATACAAGCATCATATGTACATACTTTTTATTGTTAGGAAAGAAAACCAATGCAAATAATAATAATAATAATAAAAAAAGACCGAATTTATTGATTACATGCCGTAAGTTATTTAAAATGGGGTTCGACCACAAGTGATTTCTCATTAGCGATATCCAAAAAGAAACTGCACATTTTATGTCCTAAACTGCGGGTTGGAGCAGCCTATCTGTCCTAGATCTTTTTCTACCAGTTTGTAATAAACTTTCTTCCCTCGGTCCTCAACTATGCTGTGCCATATCAGTCTTTCACCATACTTGCTAAAAAGTTTAACTCAAACTTAATGAATTTGAAAGATATCCAGATAGCAGAGCTAGATTTTCAATGCAAGTTGTTGTCTTCATCAGGTTTTGAAGGGATATTTTCATTTCTGTCATGATGAACATTTCTTTGTTACCAAAGGGTCAAAGCTAATTAATTTAACTATGTGACTGTAAAATGTGTTTCATTTTGGCAATTCAATTTCTTATGCAAAGAGGGTAGAGATTGATGGTTTGCTGATAAAATTGCCTTGGCAGATAAGGATCCCAGCTGGGAAGTATTTGGATCAATCCTTTTTATGAGAATTGAACCATCATTCCATAAGTCTGTCTCAACAATTAATAAAACCTAACTGCAAGAGAAGCTGCAATAATGCATTCATTTCAACCATCGGAGCTTGACATATGGCAGCAATGAAATCAATGGCAACTTGAGCGATTGTTACTTTACAAGCGGATTCAATCTTCCTTATCCATTTGGGAGTAGTTGTTACTTGTTAGCCTAGAGATTTCACACTAGATATAATTTCACGACATCCAAGCACTTTGAATTGATTGGTCAGTAAATACTCGACCAATTGCTGCTGGTTTTCAGCTATCATAATCCCAAACTAGATACTTGATGTTATAACTGGTCGCTTCAAAACCACATGTTTTTCGGACATTGGACCCATCAAACAGGTAGGATGTTAAAAAAAAAAATGCATCATCATGAAGCTTTATCAAACTTGCAAGACATATACAAGTACTAGTTTATATCAGGCTCCAAAAAAAAAGGATTTTTACAGTGTTTGGACTGGACAGTATAAACTTTAGTAGCCCTACTACGAATCTGTAATCTACAAACAGAAAGCAATCTACTATGAAAGTTTTTACAGCATCATCAACAATAAGAAGTGAAAATTTCCAAACATTTTCCCTATATATATGTAGCATAATGTCCCTGCCGTGTATAAAAGGTAACATGTAACTGTCATATTTAATGGCAAACCTAACAGCCAGAAAACTGCACATATTACTCCTTAGTCCTTGTATCGATGATGGCTCTGTTGTACTTCCTTGTTCGTCTTCAAGACTTCAACTTAATCTTCTTTACAATAACAAGTCTCTACAGTTTTGTGATGAAATCTCAAGTTTTCAACTGCTTCAATCATGTTAGTCGAATAGCAAAGGGTCCCACTTGTCATGTTTCTATTATTTTGCTGGAGATGTTGGTATTAGCTGACCTGCATTAGTTAAGACAATCGTTTGTCCAGTTTCATTATTTTTCTTAATTGCAGTCTAAGTAAACATGCTCAGTAGGTTCTTTTGCATTGATGGGCATTTGTCATAGAGCAAAGCAAGCTACATGATCATTTTGATCAGTGGTCTAGTTATACGTTGTCAAAGCCTTTGGCAATTAAAAGAAAATTCTCATAAACCAGTAAAAACTGAACAATATCTTGCATTACATTAAAGTGGTAAATAATGATAATCAAAATTACATAAGTAATGCATATGCAACAGTGATAGCGACTCAAAGGCACTTAAAGATTACAAAATATGCTAGTTTTTTAGGATAGACGAATAATCTAAGTAGGCATGATAATATTCATACTGAACCAAAAGTGCAGGTAGAGATCTTGGAGCTTCTAGTCATTCTGGGAAGGCCAGAGGAAGGCTCCCATTGCAAACTTTCTCTTTTGGTTCACGTCTCCAACGATGGGCAGCCCATACTCATTAAGCAGGCAGTCCAGCTGCCACTCAGGCATGTTCTCATAGTCACTCTTCTTGTATCTTGGATAGTGAAGTGGCATCCGAAAAATATAACAGCACTTATTATAATTCCTCTTTGCTTGGTGATGGTTCCCATTAGGTCTTAGCCCAGCCATAGCATAAGAGTCGTCGGGGCAGCGTGTTCCACTCATCTTCTTCACCTTTTGTACAACTACTGATATGTTGAAGCACATAGAAATGATGTCAAAGTTAGCCTTTTATAGGCAACCAGAGGATCAAGATGTGGAGGGAGTGCTAGAACACGCAGATGTCTAGTGCATTAATATCCTGACTGTGAAATATTTGAAATTCATGGATGGCATTTTGTCTTTACCAGGTTTATGGTGTGGGGATACTAAAGAGCAAGAGTCACCATTCAAAGTTTTTACGTGTAATGAAAGCAATCTATATCATAGTGCAAAATATAAATGCATAAGATTTTTCATATGGATAGAATTGATTTCAGAGTTTCTTGTTAGATTATGGACCTAAAATCCTAAACTTCTGTATCTTTCCAACTGAACAATTAATGCTCAAATTTGGCTTTACTTAAGAAGAGTGAAAGAAATGAACAAAAGAGAGTCATGTCATTCAATCAGCTGTTTGCAAGAACTGAACAAAACAGATGATTCCAGAGAATTGCCATAATTATTTTAAGTTCTAATTTATAATTAAAATATGTGAATTAATTCTATATTCCTTAGTCCTTACAACCTGAAGAAGGTTTGAGAAATTGTTTGGTGATCTGAAGAAGGTTTGAGAAATTGTTTGGTGATCTGAAGAATGTTCCTGGTCAGATAATCAGCGCAAAAATGCTTGAACCTCGCAGAAATTACTATGTGTAGAGCCTGAGCTCGCTCTACCTGTTGATTCAGACATAAATAAAATTTCAAATCTTGACATATCATTGTTTTTTAGCCAAAATAAAACAAAATAAATAGTAGACCCCTATTCAAGGAATCAAACTTCCTAGTTGATGTTCATTTGGAAGTTAGGGCTCTAAGTATTTGTGAAAGCCCTTGTACATTTTTAAATTTCCTAGATAAGCTTCTATATTTTTATTATATCTAATTGAATCCTTAAAATATTAATTTTTCTAATTTAAGTCCTTGAATTACTATTTTTATTTGATTAAACCCTTATTTGTCTAACGAATTTTAGTAATTTTCATGCAACATAGGGACTTAATTAAACAAAAAATAATTCTTTAAGGGCCCAATTAAGTACAATAAAAAAAAAGAAATTATTTGAAAATTTTAAATAAAAGTGTAAGAGCCTTTTTAATAATTTAGCAAAAAGAAGAATTGAAGAAAAAAGAAGAGTCAAGAAACATCAGCTCATTAATATGTAGGGTATGATCCAAAGAAAAAACAATTGTAAAGTTGAATCAATTACTTGACAAAATCAAAAGGAATTCAATTTGTTCATAGTTTTATTTGAAACTTCGATAGGTGATCATCATTTGTTGTTTTCTTCTAAAATGAACTTGCGTTGTCAAATCAGGTTTTTTTTGCCAATGAGAAAAACTAACACGTTTTATATTTGGCAGTCAAAACTCCATACATATTTCCTTCCATCATTCTTTCTTACCAAACTGAAAATGTGAGTTCACTGAATTTGGACAATAGAAGTATATGAGATGTGTTTCTATTCAAATGATTTGGGCCGCGTTCGGCCCTTTGTTATACTTTTTTTTTTGGAAGCATATTCAATTTTTCATTTTTTTTGCCCTATTTTGTTCTTTGTTTCATCTGAGAATCTTCAAAGTTTAGAGGGCTAAAGCCCTGCTAGCCTTAGTGTCACGGTCCACGGAAAATACCAGGCCCGGGGTTGTTGTCGAGACAGAAAGAGGTTCTAAGGCAAGCTTTCCCCATGGACAAAAGGATCTCAAATTTGTGGGACTATGCAGAGAAGCATGCAGAACTCAACAAGACAACTTGGATGAATATATTATATGAATTAAATCTCTAATTATTTGCAGGATTTGAATGCAAATCCGTCTCTGTTAGTCTCTGAGAGAAATCAGGAATCTGTTCTTGCTTCAATTTTAAAGGCAACTTCATTTAGTCTCACTGGAGATGCTTTCGTGGTTAAATGAATATTTGGAGGGGCAAAATACATGTGTAGAGACATCATGCAGATGACAATGTATACCCAAGGAAAGTTGCAGTGGAAAGGTAAAATATATGGGATATTCAATTTTATTACTTCTAACTGCATCGAATCTTACCTGCACCGTTGGCTTGAAATTGAATAGGTATACTGAGGGAACCATTTATGGTCAGTAGCATTGCCATTGATGTGGAATAAACCTTAAGAAAAAAGAATAAAAGGCAATGGGAGACTGACAAATTAACCACAGGTGGATGCTTAAAGATCAAACAGAACCTCACAATGATAACAGCACATTATTGATGCATTTTCAAGTCATAAGCAACACAAGACGTTGGCAACCATTAAAGCAAGTCTAAAAGAGAAACACATTACCTTCATAATGTTGTCAGCATATATATAATTTCATCAGCCATAAAACCAGTAAGCCAGTTGATGCAAGATTCAAAACCCCAACCAGCAGCAAGTTGTAAAAGTATATATTATCCATTGAAAAGGCCTTGCCACCAATGGCCCTTCTCATATCCTCTCCAGAAGTCATCCGGGAGTAGTCAAAAACCATTCAACCAGAAAAAAAAAAAAAAAAAAAAGAAAACACCTAATAATAACTGATGTGTTTGACAATTTGCAGCTATTCAGGTACAATGCACCATATAGTACAGCAAAGATATGTATACATCTAATACATAAATATGGTACCAATTTCACAAAGGAAAAAAAAGAATTTGTCTAACAACATATAAACAATTCTTCATGTCCTCCTCTAGTAGCCTTAATGCGAGTAAAAGCTATCAGTATTCCTCTTCATCAGGTATACACACCTGCGCTAATGCTGATATACAAGCAAAAGAATCCCCAAAATTTACCCTTGGATATAGGCATTAAATGTATAGTTGTATACAATTAGAAAACCTGAACATTATTATAGTTAAGATTACTTTAAGGACAAACATCCTATATTTGGTCAAAGTATTAAATCAATATGACCATTTACTCCTTCCTTGGTGTGTTCGGTGGGTTCTTGAACAAGGGACTAGGAAGTAAGCAGGGCAAGTTTCAGGAAGCCTCATTAGGGTTAAACATGGTTGTCTAGAATCTTAGGTTACATCATAGTTAATTACCAAGATTTAAATCAAATCTTTTTTTTTCCAATTTCTCCTTCTCCAGCATTAATGTAATTCCCAGCATGGATACGACCCTTACCTTTCGAAATATATAGAATCCATTTTTAGCTGATGTAAAATTTGAACCAACACTAAACACCAATTTGACACAAATTTTCTCCATATTCCCTCTTCTATTTTGAGCAATATATTCACAATTTCCTTCGCCAAATTTGACATGGGCCGCTGATTTTGCTCTCTTTAAAGATAACAAAAATGGGTTATCGATGCAGGGTTCCTTTCAGAAATTAGATTTGGATAACCCAATTCAGCAATCAATCAACACAAGCATGTAAAAAAGAGTAAAAAACATGACCCACAATGGTACAAATAAATGGCTTGGAATGGGAGAGGGTAATAATGACGGTTGAAAGAGAATTAACAACGCATTGGGTAATTATCATATTTGCTGTCAGATCAAGCAACCATTTGACAGGCAGATTTTCAAAGAAAAAGAAACGGAAATCGAAAGAAGCAAAGAAAAGAGATCGATGGGTTTTTAATATTCTACAGAGTTTGGGAATCTGAGCTGAGAAGTGGTGCGAAGCGCAGCAACGAAGTAGCATTCCATCTCTTTGGCTCTTTGTTTGGAGTTAATCCCCTGTTGCTTTCACTGCTCTCACGTTGTCTCATTCAACTGCGATTAAATCAAAGTATTATTCAAACATTGAAAGTCAATAAAGTCATTAACACTCAAACATTAATGTTAATAAAAATTGGAATGCTTCAAACTTTAATAAGTATAAATATATATATATATATTCAATTTCCTCAATTTGAATTTTATTTACAATATTAGTTTTTTTTTTTTATACTTGGAATCCAAGGAGCAAAAAACAAAGAAATTATTTTATAAAATTGTTTTCAATAAATTATTGAGGGTCGTTTTCAATAATTTTTTTTTAAGCAACCGTTGAAAATGATAAACAGAACAATTTTTAAAATCATTTACATGCTTGTTTATATATATAATTATACACCCATTATTAGTGAAATGTTTAAAAGATATTTTAAAAATTAAAATTTAATTTAAAAAAAGTAGTTTTTTAATGGGTAATTATAATTTAAAGTAAAAAAGGATATGTTTATTCTTACTTTTATATTTTTATAATTATTTCATTTGATTTTTGGTAATTACTTTTAATTGACACAAAAAGGCTTTATAATTATATAGATATATGAAAAAAAAGGTTTTGCTAACAAATGTCTTAATATAATTTTAAAGTTAGTTAACTCCTAAGTTTAATACTATGCGTGTAAATTTTTTTAAAATTTATAATTTTTAAATATTAATTTTAATATCATATCAATTGATAAAATGATTAATCGATATAAAGTCATTGTGTTTTTAAAATTTATCTAAATTCAAATTTTTTAAAAAAATCATTATTAGATAATTTTCCTTTATTTATTACCATTAATTCTTAATTTTGATGGTTACTAATAATCTTAATAAATCGTGGCACGGTTGGAATTAGGGCCTTAACACGTGGCGCCAAAATAATAAGACATGCCGAGCGCCGCCTCTATACCTGTAAATTGCCACGTGGCAGTTCTTCTTTTACCACTTGAAGTCTTAAACCGCCAACAACTAAGGTAAGTTGCTTACGTATGGTTTGTGCAAATTTTTAATAATAATAAAAAAAACTCAATTATACAATAAACAATTTGCAAATGGAATTATACAAATTTAGTCAAATATCTTTTCTTTTTGTTATTGGAATTTTCTTGTTTATGTTTTATAGCAAGAAAGGAGATGAAATTACATAATTAAAATAAATATTATATATATAGAAATAATAATAAATCAGGTTAATATATGTTAAAATCAGCAAAATAATAAAAAATTAATTGTATTTCTCTTTCAAGTTGTCTTTCCTCATAGGTTGTCTACCGAGCTTTAAATAACTCCAACTATAAATCAAATTTATTATTTTTTTTATAAAAAAATTATAAGTATTGATATTTCAATTATAATTTATCAAATGTTTTTTTTAATAATAATTATATAAATTAATTAAAATAAATTTCAAAATCAAAATTGATTATTAATCCAAACCAGACCCATCCTTAATTAGAGGATTAGTTGGTTTGCTTTCTTTTTTTTGCTTTTGATTTGATTCGTTTGAATATGGTCAAAGTGACGTTGGAAAAAAGATAGATAGTGGAAGTCCTTGCCAAACGGCGTCGTACTAATATGTTTTTTGGGGAAACCCAGCAGCCAGGCCGTTGCAAACAATTAACAGTTTTTTTTTTTTTGGAAAAAAAATAGAAAAAAAAAAAGAAAAGAAAGCATAATGAAAGACGAAAATCGCGGGAACACGTTTATATAAAGACTCCAAAGAAATCGGGGACGTGTTCAAAGTTTATAGAGAAAAGAAAAGGAAAAAGAAAAGAAACCTTAAACCTGTTTCAATTAAAGTTGTTGTTTTTTTTTTTTTCCCTGTTCTGTTCTTCAATCTGCAGTTACTATTTTTCGGAGAGATTTCCGTTTCCTGCTTTGATTGTTTCCGTTTTAACCTGAAATTTTCTTTTCTAGAATTCCCAGGGAATCAAAGCTTAAAATAAAAAAGGGAATATAGGTCAATCAGGGTTCTTCCTTTCAGGTGCTGTTTGACGGATGCTTTGATTCTTGAAATGGTAAGCTTTCTTTTCATTTTTCCTTCATTTTTGTTGGCACATCATTTTCATTGTGAATTTGTTTTGTTTTCTTCTTTCTTTCTTTATGTTCTATTCTATGGAATAAAGATGGAATATTTCCTTGATCAGATCAAACTTTTAGGATCGTAACGATTGTCAACCTTTTGGGATTGGCGTTGGAAGGACAGACTTAACACTGAGAGGTCTGTATAAGGCTAAAACATTTCTTTTCGGTTTCCAATATATGATTGATTGACGATCTTACAACCATATCCAACTATTTTCTTTATAAAATGATATGTGCAGGCCTGGAGTTTTGGGGCTGTTGAATCTGGTGTTTTGTCTCCAGGATTTGACAGCACCCTTGTGATTTTTGCGGGGTATCCATTATTGTGTGTTTGAACTTTGAATTCCTGACCTTAAATGGAGCAATTCAGGCAGATTGGCGAGGTTCTGGGAAGTTTGACAGCCCTCATGGTTTTACAAGATGATATTCAAATCAATCGACGCCAGTGCTGTTTGTTGTTTGATATATTCAGCTTGGCTTTCAATACAATAGCCGAGGAGATCAGGATGAACCTGAAATTAGAAGAAAAGAACACAAAGTGGAATGCCCTTGAGTCTCCCTTGAGAGAGCTTCAAAGGATCTTCAAAGAAGGAGAACTATATGTCAAACAATGTATGGACAAGAAAGACTGGTGGGTAAAGGCAATCAACCTCCACCAGAACAAGGATTGCGTTGATAATCACATTCACAATTTGCTTAGCCACTTCCCCGCTATCATTGAGGCCATTGAGACTGCTGGAGAGATAGCAGGGCTTGACCAGGATGAGATGCAAAGAAGGAGAGTGGCACTTGCAAGGAAGTATGACAAGGAATGGAATGACCCAAAACTTTTTCAGTTTAGATTCGGAAAGCAGTATTTGATCCCTCGAGATATTTGTACCCGTTTTCAGAGTGCTTGGAGAGAAGATAGATGGAATCTTGTTGAAGCTCTCAGGGAGAAGAAGAGTTCAGAATCTGCTACCAAGAATCAGCAGCGGCTAGCCGGCTTGCTGATCAAGAAAATTATTGGAGCAGAGGCTTATAATGATAAGCTTTTCCCGAGTTCAATTTTGTATGGAGGGGATTACCTGGTAAGGCGACGATTAGGGGGACAGTATAAGGAAATACAATGGTTGGGAGATAACTTTGTTTTGAGACACTTCTTTGGGGAGGTTGAACCAGCATGTTCTGAAATCTCTACCCTACTTTCACTTTCTCATCCGAATATATTGCAATACCTTTGCGGGTTTCATGATGAGGAAAAGAAAGAGGTCATGCTTGTTCTGGAGTTGATGAACAAGGATCTCAGTTCTTATATGAAGGAGAATTGTGGCTCGAGAAGGAGGATCTTGTTCTCTTTTCCTGTTGTGGTTGATCTTATGTTTCAAATTGCGAGAGGAATGGAATATCTCCACTCACAGAAGATCTATCATGGAGAGTTAAACCCTAGTAATATCTTTATGAAAGCTAGGAACAGCTCAGAAGGTTATTTCCATTTAAAAATATCAGGTTATGGTTTATCCACTGTCAAAACTCGTTCATCTACAAACTCATCACCAAAGCCGATTGATCCCTCCCCATGTATTTGGTATGCTCCCGAAGTTTTGCTAGAGCAAGAGCAGCCAGGCAATTATACCACCACTTTTAAGTACACGGAGAAAGCAGATGTCTACAGCTTTGGGATGCTTTGCTTTGAGCTCCTGACAGGGAAAGTTCCTTTCGAAGATGGACATCTTCAAGGAGAGAAGGTGAGTAGAAATATTAGAGCAGGCGAGAGGCCTCTGTTTCCATACACAGCACCTAAATATCTTGTCAGCTTAACCAAAAGATGCTGGCATACTGATCCAAATCAGCGTCCAAGTTTCTCATCCATTTGTAGGATTTTACGGTACATCAAGAAGTTCCTTGTGATGAATGCTGACCATGATCAGCCTGAACTGCAGTTTCCAGTTGCAGATTATTGTGAAATAGAGGCATGGTTCCTCAAGTTCACAGCAAATGGGGCTTTCAGTCCATTATCAGTGGCACAAATCCCATTTCAAATGTTTGCTTATAGACTGGCTGAGAAAGACAGAACTATTTTGAACACCAAGGATAAGAATGGAGAGTTAGCCATTGAAGCAGCCTCAATTTGCAGGGATGAGAATAATTCTACAGTGGAGGATCCGTTGACAGCAGCAAGTGACACAAAGTCTGTTGCTTCTGATGTAAAATCGGTTTGTTCAGATATCAAGTCAGTTTGTTCAGATATGAGGTCAATCTACTCTGAGATTCCAGAAAAGAGATCAATCAATTTCGATACACCCCAAAGGAGATCAATTTGCACCAAGATTCCAGAGAAGAAAATTTTACTGACCAAGAAAAACACCAATGTGAAGGCCAAAAAATGTTCAGGTCAAATTCATCTCTAACCTCCTAAGACAAGTAGTTTCTACTTTCATTTCCTACAGTATAAATTATTAGCACACTGCTATGAGTAGGGACCCCGAATTTAAAGCATTTATTCAATGATTGCAGGGACATCAAATGGACAATCTGCACCACCACCAACCTTGAATCGTGGTCACAGTGTAAGGATAAACCGAGAAAGTCGCTTACCATTAATTACAAGTTCCTTGAGCAAAGGCCGGCAAAGAGCAGCAGGAGGTCATACCTCTGATTAGCACCCATTAATCACCATAATGAACAGGGTTGCTGGTATTCCATCAAACATTTTGCCCAAGGTGTGAATCTCCATGATACAAATAGAGACTGAATTTTTTTCATCATAATCTTGAAGTTTTGGTACGATAGTAGGAACAGTGTACTATATTATTTTTCTGCTGCACGTTTCTTATTCTTGTGTTTTTAGCCTTCTAGGATGTAAGTTTTCCCGTTTGGATAGCTGTATTTGGTCATCAATCTTGTTCTATAAAAGTATTTCCTTTTTCTAAATTTACTCTTTATCTTTATTGTTCTTCAGTTTTGAGGATGGAAGTCTTCTGTCCAGCTGTCGGGTTTTTTTTCAATCCATGAGGCACAATATACTGATCTCTTGTTCAAAACATTTGGCTGGTTTCTACTTGAGACTTTGCAATTAGCTCGTAAATATTCCATGAAAATTAGTCCATTAAGAGTTTCTGCCTGAAACATTTCTGATCTTCTGAAGAAGAAGCAAAGTTCATGTAATTGTTGTGAACTCAGGAAAACAAATAAAAACCTGGCAACCAAATAAGAGAAGAGAAACGCGTTTGATCTTAAAGCCAAAACTATCATATACGTCAAAATTTGTAGATTTACAGAGGTAAAACCTTGGTTTACATGGAATGATAGAATGCTTAGTTACAACCCAATAAAGAATTCCCTAGAATCGAGTAAATTATCAAAGTATACCTCTAAGCTGTATCAATAAAAAAACCCCTGTAAAACTAGTCCTTTATTGGAAAGGCTTAAAAGGACTGCACATTTGTTTCATGGTGCAATAGCAGAAGACACATCCTAATAACACAGTCTTGCTCCATGAACCGCGGCCGACAGCCTCTTATAGAAAAGTTATCTCTAGCTCAAATTTTCTTTCCCATATTTACAATTTGATTCTCTCTATCTCGGGACACCCCGGAGGCATCAGGATATTCCAGATTCTTAAGCCTACACCCTGGAGGCATCAGGATATTCCAGATTCTTAAACCTATACGAGTTTCATTGGAATCTAGTTCTGGCTAATTTGATAATCTGGAACCCTAACTCCACTTTGGCTGACTTTACTCTGCAAAGTATATTCCATGCATCAAAGCCCTTCCTCTGAGCGGAATCAGCGTCCTACCATGAATGACATATTTGCCTGAAACCAAGATGGCTTCACTGCTTAAGAATAAGACTTCACAAGAAACCTTGGCAACCTTAAGGTTCTAAAAATAATGCCAGCTATTGATGGTTCTCGGCAATTAACCTTCTCCTTAAACCATCTGCAACACTTTAATACATCCGCTAGAGTTTGCAGCAACAACCATGTCTGATTTCCCCCTCCAGCAAACACTTGATACAAACAGCCCGTTGTCATCATCAATCTCTTTCCCAGAAATCGGATCAACAGATCCAAATTTATGTGAAGTTATTGGCATGGGCAGAGATCTATAGTAAGCATAAACCTACAGCACAACATCTCAATAAGTTAATGCTTGGCAGCCAAAGAAACAGATAATACATTTGCTAACTGAGTGATTTTAGATCCCCCTCCCCCCTCCCCCCACCCCTTTTTCTCCTGCCTCAAGAAAAAGGAAGAAAACCAAGCTTAAGTTAATACCTCATTCGTTTCTGAACCACAAGCTATATAACCATCAGCAATGGATAATCCCACAAAATTCTGGAGAGGCAGGTGAGAAATTAAACCAAACAGCAATGAAAACAAAGGGTTTGTCAGAGTCAAGACATAATAAGAACAAAAATCTGTTTTCCAGCAGAGAAATGCCAACCTTCTCATTAGTATGTCCACGAAAGGTTAAGCTGCAAGCATTAGAGGACAGGCCACCACTACTAGTCTTATTGAGGTCCCAAAGTTTTAATGTGTTGTCAGTGGAAGCAGTAACTAAAGTTTCTGAGTCCAGGAATTTCACATAGCTCACAGCTTTATCATGACCACCAAGAACACACCATGGGGCTCTGGCATTCCGAAGATCATAGCAATATGTTTTGTAATCCGCAGATCCAAATGCCAGTAAATGAGTGGAATGAGTAGAAAACTGAACACAGCAGACATTTGCAATGTTCCTAATGGTGCCTAAGCAGCTTTTCTACACGCAGAAAGGAGGGGAACAAAGGTTAATCCATAAGCTTAGGCAAATCAGAGTAGTGCTAGACACCTTGAATGGTAGAAGATCTTCATTACATTTATCCAAAAACAGTTACTATTCATTCCCACCTGCACAACATGCCAAAATACGCACAAGGACAGTTTCTTGGAATCTTTATAGCTCCTCTCAAAATTAAAGTTTACACTGCTCAACTTTTATGGAATTTGTAAACAAACATGAATGATCCAGAAGAATCCTTTCTATTAAGTTCTTTGTCTGATGCGATGAGGTAAAACAAGGGTTTATCCTTGGTCAATAAGAGCAGTGAATTGCAGACACTATTGTACAAGTTATTTCTTTGATAAGTGGAATATAACAGTCAAAGTATGTACAAAGGGTCTAAGTGTTTTTTGCACCAGTAGGCTTAACTTAGCCTTCGTTTGGGATCCAACTTCTGCATTTATACTCTGTTTCCTCTACCAAATTGATTCATTTATAGAGAAAAAAAGAAATGTTCATAAGGTGCCTACTATCTTGTGCCATGAGATCCATAAGAGATTGAAGGATAACATACCTCATTAATGTTCCATAGTTTCACAGAACAATCATCACTGCCACTAGCTAATTTTGTTGGATATACCTCAGAAAAGTCAACAGACCAAGCTCTCTTTTCATGCTCGATGTAATGAGAGATAGCTTGACCGGTGCTTGCATCCCATAACTGGATCCAATCCAAGCAAATAATATCAATGAGCGATGGAGGAAATTGAACAACTATTTAAAGTAATTTTAACAGCATAAAGCTTATGATATATAAGAAATGACTGATCTGTGTGCAAAGCACATTAAAAAGAATCACAGTTATTCCAGGAACAAAGAGCTTGGCATTTGAAATTATAGCGCTATAAAGGACCAATATACCATAAGTTATCTTCACAACATTACTTCAACAAATAAGACTTGTAGATCAGAATATTAATACACTATCACTATCCAAGTATGGCATTGGGGTGAACAAGGGAACCTCCAAAACCACAGTGGATACAAAACCTTTTGAACATGGTTATAGATTGTAAATCCATTCTCTGTAAAGTCAATGATTCAAAATTATGTCTAATGATGCTTTGGATTTAACTTACTATCAAAAATTAAATAAGTAAAGACGATAGCAGCAGTCAAGCTATTCTGAAGTACTGTAGTTAGAAACAGTACTACGCCACTTCATTAGATTCTAAATCCAGGATAGTTTCATCAGTGAAGTGCTAGATTACTGGGTTTTGTCCAACTATTCAGGAATATACCAAAAACCATCTATAGGCTATGATCAGCATAAGAGGAAGCAACTAGTTTCAGAATTGCTAAGAGGAAAGAGAAAAGAAGACTCAAATTTATTAGAAGTTCAACCAACTTTCAACTGAAAGAGAAGAGATTCGATGGACTTGTCATAAGAACTAATGACCAGGATAAAGTTTTGAGGTGAGAAAAGGTGAGAGACAACCAGCTCCTGTCCAGTTGGAATCTAGTAGAAATGCCCTGCAATACACCAGAGATACAACAAAGTTGCCACATGCATTCACCTCATCAACATTCATAGAAAAGTGTTCTTTAAACAATAAAATCTCCCTAGAGTGCACGAAATACAAACCTTAACCAGACCGTCATAGTCAGTTGATGCCAGATAGTTCTTGATATAGTTATTCCAGCAAACACAGCTAAGCTTTGATTTGTTCGACATCTCAATGACTGGATAATGAATATCAACAGAGTCATTAAAGAGTGCATTAAACTCAAATATCTTTATTTTCTTAGAGACGCCGGCAGAAGCAAAATAATCCTCATCACGATCAAAACTCAAAGAACAGATTACATTTGCAGAGTTGTTGAACTCCCCACTTCTCATTATTCCACGAACTTCAAACTTGCTATATTGAGCATACTTACAAAAATCATCAAAGAAGGCTCCAACGCTATCAGTAGGGTTTGGTATTTCTTCATCATTTTGTGCCAAATGCCAGTTCTTACAATTTTTTAATAAATCCTTATCTGGCCGTGTCATAGAATCAGTTTCGCGAAACTGGACTCTCGATCTCGCAGAGAAATAAGCAAATTCAAGCTGATTGATATTTCTCGTTAATCTCATTTCGTTGGCACTGGAAAATGGGTATAAACCAGAATGCGTCTCTGAAATTGAAGGTTCTTTACCAAGGTACCTACATTCCCTCACATTAATGAAAGGATAAGTTAGAGGTTTTCTCAAAGAGTGTCTTCTCTCAACCTCTTCAATGTCAGTTTCTAAGCATGTAATATCTTCCACTAATTTCGACGCATGCTTCTGCTTTTGCTCTTTCAATAAACTAAGGAAATGAAATAATAGCTCTGATTCAGTATCATCTTGGTTAATGGATGATGATAATTCTTCTTCAAATACTTCCTGGAATCCATTAATTACTTCAGAATGTAGGATATCCCTGGTATCCATCAACAATCATAAACTTAGAATCCTCAATTGAATTATTAATGGACATCAGGGTCAGGACATTTACATATCCATGCACAAAGGTAGCAAGTTTGTACTAACATAAGCATTATTAATGCTCAAAATTTAGCCATCAGTCAAAAAAGCATGGGAAAAAAACGAAGATACCTGGCACTTAGAATTAATAAATTCATCAAAATAAAGCAGAAAATGATTTATCATCAACATATCCTTACCATTACGTAAGAAGGTTCAATTCCCAGCAGATCTCCAAAATGGGCCTTACATGGTGCATTTTAACTGCTTCCAATTTTTGTTTTTATAGTTTGAGTGTTAATTTTCTATTTTTCCTTTCCAACAACAATAGAAGGAACGTAATTCTCCAATTAGATCATCATCTGACCTACTGATGCTTTTTGCTCTATATTCCAAGATATCTTATAGATATTTCTTTACAAGATAAATAATTATCATAGTCCAATTTACACATTTAAAATTCTAGCCCACACATTAGCGTTGGTTACTTTTTCAAATTCTCCATATACAACATCAGTAAAATGATTCTAGAGCTTGACATTTAGCATTTGTGAACAATTTGTACTACCTGGTTGTTGGACGTAAAGAAGGTGCTGGATGAAGTAGCCGAAGACAAAATCCAGCTTCCTTGAGATTTTCTAACAGAAAAGTAGGAGGAAAAATCCTATGACATAGATCTAACATTGCTGCAGCATGTGCTCTTTCAGATTCAAAACGACAAAGCAACTGAAAGAAACAATCAACTGCTTCTCAGAATAAACACCATTTATTCACTCTCTTCCATGCAGACCAAAAATAGATATGAAAACAAATCTAAGATATTCAGCAAAATGGATTTTAGTACCTCAAAAAGCAGCACACCCAAACTGTAAATATTTGATAAAATTGTGCAAACACCTGCATTAAGTTCCTCTGGACTTGCATACCACTTGGCTTCCAACTGCTCATTCACAGAGATTGACTGCTGTTGAGCTAAATTAGATGCATGAAGGCTCCCAGAGTTGCTAAATTCTGTATTTGGACAATCTTCACTGGATTCATTGTAAGAAAATTGGGTATTATTTATGGTTTCAATTTTGAGGCCAGCTCTAGAATGAAACACAGGCCACTGAGTCATGTTTGCGTTCTCATTGAACTTCTGCTTTTTGGCACAATGACCAACTGAGGAAACCATCCCCCGCTCCATTGGCCTTCTCCGAATCAGAAAGTTCTCTGAAGGGGGGAAATCTTTATCCAGGACAGTATCTAGAAGACCTTTATGGACACCAGAACCAATATATTTAACCTGATTAGCTTGCAACAACTTGAAGCGAGATGGGCGCAAATCATGCAAAACAACTCCCTGAGAGTGAAAATAACCAACCAGATCCACAATTTGTCTGAATATATACAAGCGCTCAGCTTTGTTTGCCTTGTGACACTGAGCTTTCAGCCATTCTCTCAAGTTCATCCCACCATGATCACACTCACCGGTCCTTGGCCCTACGATCCCATTGGAAGAATTCATACCAGTTCTATCACCCAAGATTAGTGACGTATTAGAAGCCACTACAGGGCTTCCAGCAGCCTTCAATGGAGGATTAGGAGCCACCATAGTTCCCCCAGTAGATTTTGTGTTATTCAGATGTCTAAGCTCAACTCTAGTGGCATCATGAGATGGACCTCTACATATAATCCCCTTACCTTTCAATGTAGTTTTAACAAAAAATTCAGAAAATCCTGATTTTGATAGAATCTTTGTCTTGATACCTCCATGCAATAGCTGACTGCCGGAAACCTCATTAATGTCACCTCTCATCAATTGTTCTGCAACTTCATTCCGCCCATCACTCAAAGGTTTGTGACCAAGAAATTCAGCATACCCTACATCCTGTGACAGACTTGGCATTGCCTGACTGTTGTCCCTGTTGCCAAAAGAACCCCCACTTCCTGATCCACCAACCAACTGATAAAACTGTTGCCAATGATTCTGCCTCAACTGCATTCTTTCTCTATTATTTGATGTACCAACCATGGGTAAGTTAGAACCATTGTAATTTCTCACAGTTAACTCTTCAACCATGTCATTTGCATCATCAATAGTGCGAGGGCTGGTACACCCCTGTTCAAACACATTCTTACCTTCCAACACCTCTCCAAGGACATGGAATGAGCTCTCAAGAGCATTAACCTCACCCGGTATAACCATTTCTTGGGACTCCAACATGTTGCAGCTGTCAGGTTTCACTAAATACTCAACCTCTTTGCCCTGAAGGTGAGCCCCCTCAGCTGCATCTATTGGAGCTACTTCATCACCTAGTCCTTCCATAATATAGATGCAAACTTCATTCGGTGATATGTTCTTCTTTCGCTGCATATTGAATTCCTAGTCAGAAACCATTATAACCATGTTTTTAACTGTTATCATCAATCTGACAAATTAGAGGGCGATGCCAATTACATATTCTTATGGTTTAAAAATGTCCAAATGAGCTCATAAAAGATAAGAATTTCCTCAATTTTCTTGAAGTGAAGCATTCAACATGGGCCAGTGAGCAATACGAAATACACATATTAGAAATTAACTGGTCATTTCTTAAAATTGTGAACCCAAATGTCTAAGCGCTGATAAACACGCAAGAGCGTAAGTGAATAATCAAATTCGTGAAATTCTGAAACCTAAGGCAACAGAAACCGCCCATAACTTCCAATAAAGCAAAGCTACCACCTCCAAATTTCTTCTAATTTTCAGACTAAATTCCCAATTTCTAATAAACCTAATAACGCTTCGTTTAGTAGCTATAAAAAATGCAGAAAATGAAATTAAAACTTCAAAGCTCCAAAAACCGCCAGCCAAAGCAAATTACCTAAGGAACATTTTATCACTTGTTATCTTTTTCTCCTCCATTTTCTCGGCAATCAAACAGAAAACAAACCGAAATGCAAAAAGTCCATAATAATAATAATAATAATAATAATAAGAAGAAGAAGAAGAAGAAGAAGAAGAAGAAAACATACCACACCAATTCTTGGAACCGAAAACTCGGACAACTTGAGCCGTCCAAGTGCAAGTTCACAATCCGTGAAGTAGAAAATAAGAAAGCGTAAAACTGGAAATCTAAAAATAATAATCGTGAAAACCCTAGAACCCTTGAAGAAATGAATGAAGAAAAAATTAATTGAAAAAACGGTGGTGGATGGATAAAGTTTTTTATTCCTGAGAAGGAAAAGAAGAAATATCTTGAGTTAAAGAAGCAAAATTTTTAAGTTACATTTTTTTTATTTTATTAATTGATACAGATAATTCTGCTAAAATAGTGCCGTCTTTTAGGAGTTTTTACAACAATGCCATTTTCAATATGTATCCCCGCCCAGCGGACAGTTCCGCCGTTCCCTGTTCGGTTGCCTCAAGCCGCACCGTCACTGTTTTACTGTCAAGTAAATTTGATCATTCATATAATTGCATCTTATAATAAAAATGATGTATTATAATTTATACTAATATAAAAATATAAAATATAATTTTTTAATATAATTTATACTAATATAAAAATATAAAATATAATTTTTTATCTTATTAAATATATTTATAATTTTTGTAAAATTTTTAAATTATATTATTTTTATATTTTTATTTATATTATTATATTATAGTTTAAATTATTAAATTTTTTGCTGTTTACTCTGCACTGCTCTGCCGTATATAACTTTATAAAATATAAGAAATTCAGGTCATATCAAACTAATTAATAACACTGATCTGATTATATCCAAATAAATACATAGTTGTAAAGTTAATTATCATTATATTATTATAATACTACTCTTTCCGTCGGTGTTAATCCTCCGTTAACTTTCATGGATTTAAAAAAAATATATTTTGACTTTAATTTCATAATATTAAATTCAATATTTTCATAAATTTGAAGTTTCACAATTTTTAATAATAAAAAGTAAAAAATATTAAAATATATTTTAAAAAATATATTTTGTATTAAAAAATATTTTCAAGATATAAAAATGTGGACAAATAAAATGAAACGGAAAAAATACATCTTTGTGATAATATTAACCACGTTTGTCAGTTTCCTGTATGAAATGTTTTGACCATTAAGTTATTCGATTTTAGCAAATAAACATTAAAAAAAGTATAAATATTTTTAAAAGTTGATTTGTACACAAACTTAACTGTAATAAATAATTGATTTCCTAGGAAGAAAAGAGACGTTTTAGTGGTGGTGTTGGCACCGAATCAAGAGGGTAGAACTGATTATTTTAGATAAGATATAATAATATAATATAATAATTATATAAAAATTTATATATATTTTAAAATATATATTTTATATTTATTTGTATTAATATAAATTTTAATATAACATAATTAATATTTTATGTGTAGATATATTTATATATGTATAAGATATGAAAAATATGTTTAGATATAATATATCATATAGATATATGTTTAATACGTGATACGATATGTTAAATATATTTAGTTATGAATATAAATTTATTATATTTAACATATTTAATATATTTTTATATTTATTTTAATTTAATATAAATATATAAAAATTATTTTAATTTTTAATTATAATATTTAATTAACTATTCCATACTATATAAAATATTAGTTTAAATATTTAATTATAATAATCATTTAATAAATTTTATAAAAATATTTTTATATTAATAATACAAATATAATATAAATATTAGTATTATTCTTATACATCATTATTTTATTTTTTAATCTTTAATAATTTATTATTTTAAATTTGATACTAAAAATTAATATCATTATATAATATATTAAATTTTATATATATTAAATGCGTATCAAATTTTTTTATTTTTTTAATATGTATGTATTTATTTGTAGTATTAATATGCTAAATTTATTAAATTATAAATGATAAATAATTTATAATAATTTATTATTTTAATTATATTTTTATAGGTATCAATATATATTTATATTATTTATATTTATTTATATCATATTTAAATAAATTAAATATACATATATTAATCATATCATATTATACATAATATATATAATAATCATATCATAATCATACTTAAAATTTAATCATATTTTATAATTTATATTATATTTATATTTTAATAATTCGTACCGTTATAGATGCCAAACTTTTTACGAATTATCATGTTTATAAGAGGGCATCGGGTGGAGATGGGCACTCCACGTGGGACCAACTTGGAGTGCCGCAACTTGGAGTGCCGCAAGGAGGGTAAAAGAGCAGGTTACCATTATCGGATCACGTGGCCAGACATGGGACCCGAGTTTCTATCAAATTTGTTCAACCTCAGGCTCCACTCAAGCCGCGTCATGCGCATAATCCATCCCTCCATGAAATTCATCACGGAAGGCTGGAAGCCACATCAAGCTAATTTGAGAATTCATGGTCATTTCGATCTCACTATAATAAATTCATAATGGAACGCTTTTGAACTTCAATGCATCGAGTAAAAGACGATAAAGGATTTTGAAAGAACCTTCCCTTATCAACCTTATTCTGATTGACTAGGTGGGCAATTCTGAGAAGACTTGCATTTAAATCATAACTGCAGTATTTGAAAAGATAACTAACAGATATCAGGTAGACTGACATCAACATTTCAACACCATCCTTACCGTTAAATTTCTCTCCTGCTACAACCACTACTTCCATAATTCATGCCCCTTTCATTTCTTCTCTTTTCAGGGTTTCAACTTTCAACGGATGAGTTACACATCAAAGGTATCTTTCATCCTCGACCCCTCATGAAATATTTATTCCATCCTAAGGTATTAGTAATAACTAATAATTAAAAGCTGAGACAGCATCCTCAACTAGAAAGTGCCACTGCCCCAGCAACCCCCAAACTCAATGCGCACAAATACAATAGATGTTGAAGCAATATCACAACTGTTCCATCGTATATACATGCTAAAGCAAGAAGATTGATGAACAAATAATTTTCAACGTTTGCATGCTGCTGTATTTATTAAGCATCTTAAAGACTTGCAAGATTCAAGCATCATTTCAATACCGTCATCCACCCTATTTCCTTTTCTTGGGTCATAAGATGGGATTAACTGTAGATATTAAATTTTATCTAAATCTATCATTTTCAATTTTTGGTTTAATAATAATAATAATATTGATTTAATTAATATAAAAAAATAAAAATAAAAGCTTTACTAATAAAAAACAAGGAAAAAATCAGGATGGCAGTGGTGCCTTACATGCCACCACTGCCACCCACCCTGTCACCACCTTCCCCAATCCCTTCGGAGCTCTTACACCTCACTTGTCCCAACTGCTCGAAACCATCAACCTTACCCTGTCATCACACCCATACCTCACCAGAGGTATGCTCCATTGGCTACCACCATTTTCAACCCTATAAAGCCCTTAACGTTTCCCCTTTCAGCCTCTCTTGGACTCTTAGAACACGCCAGAAACCCAACTCTTCATCCCTTAAAAGCCAATCCCATTAGACTCACCCACCAGTATCGATCCCTCTTTACCCGCACAAACCCCCAAAACAAAAAAAACAAAAGCAAAGACAAACAGTCCTCTCTGTAGGGAAGAACCTCAGCACCGAAGCTCCCTACAAGAATAAAAAATCATATCAGTCTTCGATTTACAAAAAAAAAGAAAAGAAAAAAAGAGAAGAAACAGAAATTTTCAAACCCCGATCTACATTGATCGGGGCAGTTTCTAGCGAAATTAAGATTGGATCGAAGCTTAGGAGAATACAAGAAGTTTTTTTTAGACCTTTTTTTGACTTTTCGATAGCCGATGATCGACGACCAGAGACAATAGCCAAAGCGACGGACGGTCACCGTGCAACAACTTAGAGAGAAGGGCTCTGAAGAAAGGAAAACTAGAGAGAGAGAGAGGAGAGAAAAATGAAGCAAAATTTTTTTTTGTTTGCTTTTATAAAAGACTAAAATTCAAAACGATGTCGTTTAGAGGAACGCCCAAAACGATGCCGTTTTAGCCAAGGAGATCTGCGCGTCAACCCGGACCTGACTCGCCAACTTGGCTTTTCATTTAGCTATGAACCGATTTGACCAGACAGGATCGAACCACTCCCTAGATCAGACCGAATCGCTTCTCAGTTGGCTCAACCAAACTGCGCGCCAAACCAAACCCTTTTGCGGTCAAACTGAACCGCTGTTGATCGAACCGTTGACCGGCCCGATTTAGGTAAAAAAAAATTTTTTTGAATTTTTTATTTTTTATATATTATTTTTTTTGTTATTTTGAGTAATTTTTTTAATTTTTATGCATGATAAATTTTTAAATTTATTAGAATAATTATTTGATTATTTTTATTAATAATAAAAAATGAAAACAAGTAAGATAACTGATAAAAAATATTAAAAATGCTTAAAATAATAATAATAATAATCTAAAAAATTATAATAAAAATAATTTTTCTTATTTTCTTTGCCTAGATATTGGAGGGAATAAAATATATTCCTAAAAATAATTTCTCCTAGATGTTAATAAATTATTGTTAATAAATTTTCATAAATATATATATAAGAAAATTTTAATTAATTTTTAAAAATCACTAAAATCGAATTTGCTCTGAAAATTCACTTAAATGTTGGGAATTTTTAGAGATGTTCGTTTTTTCTTAACAAAATGAAACTTTAAACGCTAATTCTTAAATTTCAAAACCCTAAAATCTCCTAACCTTTAAATCCAAACCCCAAAACCCAAAATCCCTAAAATCCAAACCATTAAATCAAAACCCCGAACCTCAAATTTTAAAACCAAAACCCTAAAATCTTCAAACTCTAAAATCAAAATCCTAAACTTTCCATACCCGAAAATCCAAGCCTTAAAACCCTCTAAACCTTAAAACCAAACCCTAAAACCCTCAAAACTCAACCCAAAATCCTAAAATCCGAATATTCAAAATCTTGAAACCCTAACCTTTAAAACTTTTACTCAAGCCCTTACTTAAAACATTTTGAAAATCCTAAAGACACCTGTGAAAATCTCATGTGAAGTAATTTATTCTCGAATGTCGCCTAGATGATGGGGTATTTAAGAAACTCTATTTCATTAAATTTTTCACACGAGTTCTTAATTCACATTAATAATAAGATTAATAAATAAAAAAGTTAATAATAAATTAGATTCTTAAATATAAACAGTGGCACCTAAGCTCTGCCTAGATGTTGGAGAGTCAAGGCGGTCTCATTATACTTAAAAACTCAACTTTTAAATTACAGTTCTTTTTACGTGACATTCATTAACATACATACGTTAGCATGTTATCATTATTCTTTCTTTTATTTTTATTTACTATTTGATGATAAAATATTTTATAATAAAAAAAGAATAATAGATTTTAAAAAAATTTTGTGATATTATAAAATAAAATAAAAAAATAACATTCCGAAGGAAATAATTCTTGATACTTTGCCTAGATATTGGAAAGTCACTAACAATTATCTTCTACAAATACTGTTATTTCATTTTAAGGATTATCGTGTTAAATCTTAAATGAAAAGAGTTATTTTAAATTCTGCCTAGATGTTGAAAAATTTTAAAATAATTCTTTAACTTTAAGATTTTCTCAATATTCCTAAATAAAAAGCTTTAGCAAAATTTTATGTTTCCAAATGAAGGGAATTAATGTTAAATTTCAAATTGAAACCATTTTTATCTAACACTGAAAATAATGCATAATTAAATGGTACCTATTTATGGGCATTATGGGGGTGCTAATAATTCTCCACATGTAACCGACTCCTGAACCCAACCTGATTTTTTGTAGATCAAAATTTATCTTTTTGATAAACTTTAAACTTGCTTTTATAGTTTTATTAAAAAGATAAACTTTTAGGTGACCAATTACACCCTAACAAAGATTGGTGACGACTCTCTCATTTATTTTGATTTTAAAACTCCTTTACGTCTGATGGTCTCAAAACCGTTATGACAGCTTGACGACTCTACTGGAGACTTTAATTCGAGAGTCAAGCCAAAACTTTTAATTATGCGTTATTAAGAATTGTTGGATTTAATTGATTTTATTTGACATTTCATTTAATCTCCTTTATTTTGATTTTTCAAAAATATATATGTTAACGAATAAGATAAATTGTATGTTAGTCGTGATTTTATTTGTATGTTTATGGTATTTCGATTAATACATTATTTTGCACACACTTTGTATATTCATGCATGAGCTCTAGACCCGAGTTCTATCCTTTTTAGGAGGAAGTGAAGTAGCTACGCTATCGTGAGGTGATAACCTCCGCATTTGCTAGCGAAACACTTTCACTTAGATTGAACCCATTTCGTTAGTAGCCTGTAATGGGTGAGAATCGAGGAGCCTTACTAGTCTATAATGGACGATGAAGTGAGGAATAGTCTGGGAACCTTTAGACACGTAAATCTTAACCCGACATACAGTAAACCGTAAGGTCCAACCTTAAGAAAGAGCATACGGAGGTTAAGTGTATGAGCTTATTTTCATTGTCTTAATAAAGTGATGAATGCAATGCATTTCACTTATACCATGTTCTCTATTTTTCATTTTTTTCTTTCATTACCATTCTCTTTGCCCTTGCCAAGATCAATATATATTTCTTTGTGATTATACCAATTTTTAGGTTTTTTAATATTGAACATTATGGATGACCAAGGCAATAACACCAGTTTTGATTTTGAAATTTTGATTCACATTAGCGAGCTTGATAACAATGTTGATTCAGAAGACTATGATTTACCTCATGATCTGTTAAAATGGATAAAATAAGAGGAGAAAATTATAAAACCCCACCAGGAATCAACTGACCCGTTAAATTTGATAGATGGTGAGAATAAGAAAGAAGTTAGGATCGACACTTCATTATCATCGATCCAGAAGCAAAAGCTGGTGAGTCTGCTGTAAGAGTACGTAGATGTATTTGCATGGTCATACTAGGATATGTTCGGACTTAGCGTAGAGGTGGTTGAGCATAGGTTACCTTTAAAACTATAATGCCGATCAGTATAGCAGAAGTTGAGACGCATGAAGCCAAAAATATTACTGAAGATAAAAGAAGAAGTAAAAAAATAATTCGACGTTGGTTTTTTAGAAGTAGCAAAGTACCTTGAATGGGTAGCCAATATAGTATCAGTTTTCAAGAAAGATGAAAAAGTTAGAATGTGTGGACTATTAAGATTTAAATAGGGCTAACCCAAAAGATAATTTTTTATTACCATATATTGATACCTTTATGGATAACACTGCTAAGCATTCTATTTTTTTATTCATGTATGGGTTCTCCGACTATAATCAGATCAAAATGGCTCATAAAGATATGGAAAAAACTATATTTGTGACAATATAGGGCACGTTTTGTTATAAAGTTATGCACTTTTTGCTAAAAAATGCTGATGTCATATATCAATGGATGATGATCACTCTCTTTCATGACATGATGCACAAGGAGATAGAAGTATATGTTGATGATATGATAGCTAAATTTTAATAAAGTGAAGATCATGTTGTTAATCTCAGAAAGCTTTTTAAAAGATTACAGAGATACCAACTCAAGCTGAATCTAGCCAAATGCACATTTGCTATTAAATCTAAAAAATTGTTAGGGTTTATAGTTAGTGAAAGAGGTCTAGAAGTAGACCTTGATAAAATTTGAGCCATTCGAGAGTTGTCAGTACCACGTATACAAATGAAGGTAAGAGGTTTTTTGGGGTGATTGAATTATATTTCTCGCTTCATATTTTAACTTACCTCAAAATACGATCCAATTTTTAAGTTATTTCATAAAAATAATCCTGGTGAATGGGATGAAGAATGTCAAAATACATTTCAAAAGATTAAAGAGTATTTGATAAACCCACCAGTGTTAGTACCACCAATTGAAGAAAGATCGTTAATTTTATATCTAATGATTCAAGAAAAATCAATGGGATATGTATTGGGGCAAAGAGATGAAACTGGTAAGAAAAAACATGCTATATACTATTTGAGTAAAAAGTTTACGGAATATGAGGCCTAATACCCCCAAATAGAAAAAAATATGTTGTGCCCTGGCTTGAACTACTCGTAGACTCAGGCAATATATGCTCTACCAAATGACGTGGCTAATATCAAAATTGGATCCCTTTAAGTACATTTTTAAAATATCATCTTTATCAGGCAAACTAGCGAAATGACAGGTCATGCTCTCAGAATATGATATTATGTGTGTGACACAAAAATCCATAAAAATGAATGCAATTATTGATTTTTTTGTCGATCGAACTACAAAAGATTATGAACCTATAAAGTTTGGGTTTCCATATGAAGATTTAATGACAATCTTGCAGGATGAAGATGAAGAACTTGTAAGAGAAGTATGGAAAATGTTTTTTGACGGGGCATCCAATATAATGGAGCATGGTATTGGGCCAGTGCTAATATCCCCAGAACAGAATTACTAACCCTGTACCGTAATGTTAGATTTCAACTGCACAAACAATCTTGCTGAATATGAAACATATGTCATGGGGCTACAAATGACTATTGAAAAGAAGATTGAAATGCTAGAAGTATATAGGGATTCAACCTTGATAATTTATCAACTAAAAGGTGAATGAGAGACCAAGAACCTGAAACTAGTGTTATATCAAAAGCACATAACTAGTTTGATGAAACATTTTAAAAAGATCCAATTTTAGCATGTTCTTTGAGAAAAAAATTAGATTGCTAACTTCTTGGCTACTTTGGCAGTAATGTTCAATTTAAATAATAGTACAAAAATTCAATCCATTAGAGTACAAATGAAAATTTTACAGCTTACTATTTAAATGTGAAAAAAGAGGTAGATCGACAACCGTGGTACTATGACATTGTACAATATATCAAGTGTCAAAACTACCCAAAACAGGCTTCAAAAAATGATAAGAGGATCATTTAAAGATTAGCAGTAGGTTTTGTGCTTGATGAAAAAATCTTGTATAAAAAAAGTCGAGATCAGATTTTGCTAAGGTACGTTAATGCTGCAGAAGTAAGAAGGATACTTGAAAAAGTATACGAAAAAATTTATGGAACACATGCTAACAGGCATATGATGGCCAAATAGATTATGAGAGCTGGTTACTACTGGTCTACAATGGAAAATGATTGCATCAATTATGCTAGAAAGTACCACAAATATCAAATTTATGCAGATAAAATTCATTCTCTTCTAGTCTCGCTACATGTCTTGGCACCACCATGGCTTTTTTCCATGTGAAGAATGGATGTGATCGGATTCATAACCCTAAAAGCTTCAAATGGGCATCGATTTATTTTTTTGATAATCGATTACTTTATAAAATGGATAGAAGCAGCTTCGTATGCTAGTAGTATTATGCGATCAGTTGTGTGTAAATTTATAAAAAGAGAGATAATATATCGGTATAGGCTCTTGAAAAGGATCATCTCAGATAATGCTAGCAATTTAAACAATAAAATGATGAAAAAATTATGTGCACAGTTCAAGATTAAGCATCATCATTCAACACCATATCGCCCAAAAATGAATGATACAGTGGAAACTGCGAATAAAAATATCAAGAGAATATTGAGAAAAATGACTGACACATAAGGGTTGGCATGAAAAGTTATATTTTGCTTTGCTTGCCTATAGAAGATCAATTCGAACCTCCACAGGGGCCACCTCGTTTTCACTAATGTATGAGATGAAAGCTGTATTTACCGATTAAAGTGAAAATTTCTTCTTTGAAGGTGTTGATGAAGATAAAATTGGATGAGGCAGAATTGGCTCAGGATTTTTTCAAGCAATTGAATCTTATTGAAGAGAAAAGGCTCTTAGCACTCAATTATAGACAAATGTATCAAAAAAAAATCATGCGAGCACATGACAAAAAGATACGACCCCGATACTTTTGCGAGGGCGAATTGGTTTTGAAAAGGATTTTACCATATCAGCATAACAATAGAGAAAAATGGACGCCCAATTGAGAAAGTCCATATGTGGTAAAAAAGGCTTTTTCTGGTAGAGCTCTGATCTTTGCAGAAATAGACGGAGATGAATCATTGAATCCTGTAAATTCGGACACAGTCAAGAAATATTTTACTTAAAAAAATAAAAAAAATAAAAAAATAACAACAAAAATACAAAAAAAAAAAGAAATGATTCAGATTGAAAACTAGAAAATGGCGGTTTGAATCAAAGGGGGTCATTTGAGCTGAAAACCTGAAAAGACGATTTAAATGAAGGTGAAGCTCAGAGAAAGTCTTTCAAAAAATGAAAGAGTGACACCAAATGGGATAAATTATCGTCAGAATTAAAAGAGATAACTTTTAAGAGGCAAGTTCTCATTAGTCACAGATGTAGGGGCAATGATTGGTCATATGAAATCACAGGTGAAAAATCGTAAATGTAATGAGTTTTTGAAAAAGACCTGGTCTGAGTAGGTCGAGGTCATCCAAAATTTCATTATTTAGAGAATTTCTATTTGATTATTGAAATATTCTTGAGTAAACTGTTCTTTATGTCTCAAAAGGATTGTCTTTCTAAACCCGATATACCCCATTAATGATCGTGTTTCACACCCAACTTTGAACTTGAAATCATTGCATTTGTCATTTAAAATTAAGAGAATGATTAATAAAGTTCATAATAGACCAATGCATCACTCAAAAAGAAAATGTAATATAAGGATGACAAAAATAGTAATATAAGGGTAGAAAGAATGAAATGAAACTGATTGATCACTGAAAACAAAAGAGAGGAGATAAAAAAAGGAATAAAAAAAAGATTTTAGAGTGACTAAAAGTCAAGTGGGTCTATCATAAGACAGAGATTTTTGATCGAGAATCGAAAGATTTAGAAAGATGAGACTACTGGAAACAGCTTTTAAAGCTTGAAAGAATTGAACAAAAAAGTTAAATTAACTTGGATGAAAATGCATGATATAATACGTTGATTGCATCTTTGTCTTTTCATTCATCATAATCATTGCATATATCACAAACCTATTGATAAGTTGCATAAAAAAATTTTTTATAAGACATAAAAAAAAATCATCATTTTTCTTTTCAAAATAAAAATGATGGCCTAAAAGATGATGTGATATCTGTGGCATGATTCTTAAAATTGAACCTGTCAATCTATAGAGTGCTCAATCCTTTATTTTTCAACTCACAGCTCAGTCTTAGTTATATTTATTCTCTCGATTCATGGTTCAATCTCGGTTATTTCTATTAGTTACCCGACTTACGGTTTAATCTCAGTCACTTTTATTTTTCTAACTTGCGGTTCAGTTCCAGTCGTCATTAATCTTTGACTCGTGGTTTAATCCCGATCATTCCTATGTTCACAACTTGAGGTTTAATCTTAGTCACTTTTATTTTTTTTGACTTGCAGTTCAATCCCAATTATTGTTAATCTCTAACTTATGGTTTAAACCCAATCATTCCTATAGTTTCTTGACTTACAATTAATCCCAGTCACTTTTATTTTTTTAACTTGCGATTCAGTCCTAGTCGTCGTTAATCTTTGACTCGTGGTTCAATCCCGATCATTTCTGTTAGTTACCTGACTTACGGTTTAATCCCAGTCATTTTTATTTTTCTAACTTGCGGTTCAATCCCAGTCATCGTTAATCTTTGACTCGTGATTTAATCTCGATCATTCCTATGTTCCCGACTTTACAATTTAATCCTAGTCACTTTTATTTTTTTCTGACTTGCTGTTCAATCCAATCATTGTTAATCTCTGACTCATGGTTTAAACCTAGTCATTCCTATAACTTTTCGACTTACGGTTTAATCCCAGTCACTTTTATTTTTCTGACTTGCGGTTCATTCCTAGTCATCGTTAATCTTTGACTCGTGGTTTAATCCTGGTCATTTCTGTTAGTTACCTGACTTACGGTTTAATCTCAGTCACTTTTATTTTTATAACTTGCAATTCAGTCCCAGTCGTAGTTAATCTTTGACTCGTGGTTTAATCCCAGTCATTCCTATGTTCTCGACTTGCGGTTTAATCCTAGTCACTTTTATTTTTTTTCCTGACTTGCGGTTCAATCCCAATCATTGTTAATCTTTGACTCGTGGTTTAAACCCGGTCATTCTTATAGCTTCCTGACTTACGGTTTAATCCCAGTCACTTTTATTTTTTTGATTTACGGTTCATTCCCAGTCATCGTTAATATTTGACTCATGATTTAATCTCGATCATTTCTATTAGTTACTTGACTTGTGGTTTAGTCCGGATCATTCTTATTTTTTTCTAACCTACGGTTCAGTCTCAGTCATCGTTAATCTCTCACTTGTGGTTTAATCCCGATCATTCCTATAGTTTTCTGACTCGTGATTTAATCCCGATCACTTTTATTCTTTCTGATTTATGGTTCAGCTTCGATCATCATTAATCTCTGACTTGTGGTTTAGTCATAGTTATTTCTATAGTTTCCTAGCTTGTGATTTAATCTCAGTCGTTTTTATTTTCCTAACTTGTAGTTTAATCCTAGTCACTTTTATTTTTCTCACTTGTGGTTTAATCCCAGTTGTCTTTATTTTTCGACTCACATTTTTAATCCCAATCATTTTATCTCTATCATTTTTTAATTTGTGATATCATCTCAATTGTCTTTTTCCACTTAATTCATAGTTCAATCCTTTAAATTAATTAAGAAAGTCATTTAGTTAGCTTTGGACAAAATCATTGTCTTTATCTTTATCCTATTACTGATTCTTAATAACGTGCAAAGAGGGATAACTGTAGACACCGAATTTTATCTGGATCTACTATTTCCAATCTTTGGTTTAATAATAACAATAATATTGATTTAATTAATATAAAAAAATAAAAATGATAACTGATAAAAAAAAGGAAAAAATCAGGATGGCAGTGGTACCTTACACGCCACCACTGCCACCCACCCTATCACCACCATCCCCAATCCCATCGGAGCCCCTGCACCTCACTTGCCCCAACTGCTCGAAACCATCAACCTTACCCTACTATCACATCCATACCTCGTCAGACGTATGCTCTATTGGCTACAACCATTTTTAACCCTATAAAGGCCCCAACGTTTCCCATTTCAGCCTCTCTTAGACCTCTAGAACACGCTAGAAACCCAACTGTCCATCCCCTAAAAGTCAATCCCATCCGACTCATCCACCAGTACCGATCCCTCTTTACCCACACAAACCCCCAAAACAGAAAAACAAAAGTAAAGATAAACAGTCCTCCTCGTAGGGAGGAACCTCAGCGCCGAAGCTTCCTACAAGAATAAAAAATCAGATCAGTCTTCGGTTTACAAAAAAAAAAGAAACAAAAAAAAGAAACAAAAATCTTCAAACCTTGATCTATATCAATCGGAACAGTTTTCTAGCAAAATGAAGGCTGGATCGAAGCTCAGAAGAATACAAAAAAAAATTTGGACCTTTTTTTTACTTTTCGATCACCGACGATCGGTGATCGAAAACGGCGGCCAAAGCGGCTGACGGTCACCGTCCAACAGCTTAGAAAGAAATACTCTGAAGAAAGGAAAGCTAGAGAGAGAGGAGAGAAAAATGAAGTAAATTTTTTTTTTTTTTACTTTTATAAAAGACTGAAATTCAAAACGTCGTTTAGAGGAACGCCCAAAATGACGCCATTTTAGCCAAGGAGATCCGCGCATCAACCCAGACCCAACTCGAGGTCTACGCAACCGACTCGTCAACCTGGTTCCTCATTCAGCTCTGAGCTGATTTGATCAGGCCGGACCGAACTACTCTTCAGTCGGCTCAATCGAATCACGCACTAAATCAAATCCTTTTGCAATCCAACCAAATCACTGTTGACCGGACCGGTTTAGGTAAAAAAAATTTTTTTTTTAATTTTTAATTTTTTATATATTATTATTTTTGTTATTTTGAGTAATTTTTTTATTTTTATGCATGATAAATTTTTAAATTTATTAGAATAATTATTTGATTATTTTTATTAATAATAAAAATGAAAACAAGTAAGATAACTAATAAAAAAATATTAAAAATGCTTAAAATAATAATAATAATAATAATATAAAAAATTATAATAAGAATAATTTTTCTTATTTTTCTTGCCTAGAGGGAATAAAATATATTCATAAAAATAATTCCACCTAGATGTGGAGAATTGTTATTAATAAATTTTCATAAAAAAGTATATATATAAGAAATTTTTAATTAATTTTCAAAAATCACTAAAATCGAACTTGCTCCAAAAATTCGCTTAGATGTTGGGGATTCTTAGAGATGTTCGTTTTTTCTTAACAAAACGAAATTTTAAATGCTAATTCTTAAATTTCAAAACTTTAAAACCTCATAACCTTTAAATCCAAACCCCAAAACCCAAAATCCTTAAAATTCAAACCTTTAAATCAAAACCCCAAACCTCAAATTTTAAAATCAAAACCCTAAAATCTCCAAACTCTAAAATTAAAATCCTAAACCTTCCATTCCCTAAAATCCAAGCCTTAAGCCCTCTAAACCTTAAAACCAAACCCTAAAACCCTCAAAACTCAACCCAATATCCTAAAATTCGAATCTTCAAAATCTTGAAACCCTAACCTCTAAAGCCTCTACTCAAGCCTTTACTCAAAACATTTTGAAAATCCTAAAGACACGGATAAAAATCTCATGTGAAATAATTTGTTTACGAATAGCGTCTAAATGATGAGGTATTTAGGAAACTCCATTTTATTAAGCTTTTCACACGCGTTCTTAATTCACATTAATAATAAGATTAATAAATAAAAAGTATAATAGTAAATTACATTCTTAAATATAAACAGTCGTACTTAAGCTCTACTTAGATATTGGAGAGTCAGGGTGGTCTCATTATACTTAAGAACCCAACTTTTAAATTGCATTTCTTTTTACATGACATTCATTAGCATACATACGTTAGCGTTAACGTGTTATCATTATTCTCTCTTTAATTTTTATTTATTATTTGATGATAAAATATTTTATAATAAAAAATACATTTTAAAAAATTTTATGATATTATAAAATAAAATAAAAAATAATATTTCGAAGAAAATAATTCTTGGTACTCTGCCTAGACGTTGGAGAGTTACTAACAATTATCTTCTATAAAGACTGTTATTTCATTTTAAGGATTATCGTGTTAAATCTTAAGTGAAAAAAAGTTATTTTAAATTATGCCTAGATGTTGAAGAATTTTAAAATAATTATTTAACTTAAGATTTTCTCAATATTCCTAAATAAAAAGCTTTAGCAAAATTTTATTTTTTCAAATGAAGGGAATTAGTGTTAAATTTCAAATTGAAACCATTTTTATCCGACACTGAAAATAATGCATAATTAAATGGTACCAATTTATGGGGTTGTAAGGGTGCTAATCATTTCCTACACGTAACCGACTATCGGACCCAACCTAATTTTTTGTAGATCAAAATTTATCTTTTTGATAAACTTTAAACTTGCCTTTATAGTTTTATTAAAAAGATAAACTTTTGGGTGACCAATCGTACCCTAACAAAGATTAGTGATGACTCTCTCATTTATTTTGATTTTAAAACTCCTTTACATTTGACGGTCTCAAAATCGTTTCGACACTAACTACCCACCGTCTCCTCTCTTCTCTTTTAGTTGAGAGCAAAATATTTAAGAGGGAAAACACAAAATGCGAGCCTATCCCACTCTTATACACAAAATTGCTGAGAAAAGCTTAATTCTACATTGAATATAGGTTAAAATTAAAGCATGTAGACATAAAAAACAATGTCGCTTGTGGCTTCTAATGCATGTGATTATCTATAGTAAGACCTGACAAAAAGGTTTCAGACTTGTTTAAAGAAGAGACAAATATAGAAATTAAAAAAAAAAAAAATACTATCCTCTTTTGACAGTAGGAGATGCCTTTGCTATCACCATATCAGTAACAATTTCTGGTAAGAACAATATTGGTTCTTTCAGTCTACAACTATAACAATAAAGGATCCTTTTTCTTCGGGCATATCTCAAATAATTGCTTACATGCTGAATAGCTAGTTCTTTATAATGAACAAGACCTTTTGGTCATACTCCAGCAACTCCCTGACATATTTCTTCAGCTTCAACTCTGAATCCCCATCTATGACAAACTAGGTCAGAGAAATACAACTGGAGCCAATCTGCATGAAAGGTTATTGCGGCATTATAGTAAGAAAAGAAAAAAACAAACTGATAAAACTTACTGGAAGCCATTTTCTTTTCAATGCTATAAAAGGAAATATACTTGTGTCATGTTATCATAAAGCAGAGTGCACAATCTACAAATCAACTCTTACTTCGTCAATGTTAATGTTAAAAAAACTCAACAACTGTCTCCCCCCTACCCGTTTCTCTTTCTCTCTCATATCTAAACAACCCACTCCACTTCTCACTTTTCCCTTATAATAGTTCTCATTCCCATAACTAGTTTCTATAAGAATCCATGTTTCAAGATATCAAGTGAAACCATCTCATCCTCACCTTTACTATCAATGAACAAAAAGCAGAAAAGGCAGGGGATATTAAAAAAGCTTCTGTAACGATACCTGTGTGCATCAAAGATAAATCATCAATTGGCACAATTTCACAAACACCTCTTTGGTTTTTCCCATCTAAAACAGAAAGTTGCCATCCATTTCCTGTCGCTAATTTATGTTTTCCCTCTGAGCCTCTGGTGCAAGCTGAGAATGGTCTAAGGAAATATCCACACCATCGCTGTCATCACCAGACTCAGAATCGGAGGACACAGGAATTTCCTCAGAGAAACCAAGCCCATCCAAAGGAAACCCAGTCATAAGATTCTGAGACTGCTGCTCAGACTCCATTTGCTGTTCACATTGTCTTGAAAACATAAAACCTTCCCCTGGTGTGGCAAAGCCTCTGTTAACCTCATTACTATAAGAAGAGATAGTTGTTGTTGAGCAATGATTAAGAGGACAATCATCAGGCCTGCAAACAGCCTCTTGCAGTTTCTCCATCTTTAACTTCCCAGCTAATGTATTATCATCATTATCACCAATTTCACTCTCACCTACATCTATAGATGAAGTTCGTTTTCTTTTGAGAGTTGGAGTCTCGTTTTGTACACAAATTTGAACTAAATGTGAGTTCTCTGCAGGATGAGTCATTCTTTTTTCACTCAGAATTTCCACTGGTGCACTATCATCATCACTATCAATGTCAACAATCTCGACAATGTTTTGAGATGGAGGTCTCCCATTCCCTGGCATGCAAATTTTTACGAAGAAATTGTAAATAAAATTTTTCTGGCAGATGTTAAAAGGGAAAAACAAAACTTTACAAATTCCAGAAATAGGTAATTATTGCTCATAGATATACCTTTAGCATAAGCTCTTAGAATTTGTTCTAAAACACTAGGAAATCTAATGAATTTATCATCAACTTAAAGGGATGCTATGGTGCCAGACCCATAATTTTCTTCATATTTGTTTGCTTTCAGGATTCATTGTTTCAAAAGTACAATCATTGCCTAAAAGACAACAAAAAAAACTACAGCCCGAGCAAACCATACTGATCAAGTGAATTATGGCCCTTGGATATGTTTTTTGATTTTTGACACCCATAGTAAACTCCAGCATCTATAAACACATTCTATGATCTATACATGTGGTAATTTCAAAATCGAGAACTATGTTATGAAGCATGGTACATAAATTTCATATTGGTACGTAAATCAGTTTAATGTTTTGATGTTCCTGCAATACAACCTAACTACCAAAGCAAATTCCTTATCCTGTTTTACTTTAGTATTTATTATATCATTTGATACAAGGATCAGCTCAACTATAAGTCTATAACCTGAAATGATACCAAAATCTTCATTCACAGCAATTTTGATTATCAAGTATAGCCTGAATTTCTCAAATCAATAGCACAGCCATACTTGGTCAAGAAAGAAAAATGCATATGCCTTTAATTTACCCCCCTTGATTCTACAACTCCAAACAGAATTCCAGTTTGCTTAGTAGCAACTTAATCATTGGCACCAAAAGCCAACTTTACTACAGGAATCTATATTTGCAGATCAAGGATCATAACAGGTAAGAAAACAAATTTAATAACAGAATAAGGTTCTCCAATAAAATGAAGGTCTTACGCTGGACAGGCAAGCCTTTAATGATATATCAACATACTGACAACAATAATCCAATACAACAAACACAATTTACCTAGCATACACAATACTTATAAAAAACAATGCCACTTCATATGTTAAACAAACAGTAATTTTAGGATTTTATCCCACAGCGTTGACAAAAAAAACAAGGAACAAATCAAAATTCACAACATAACTAAAAACTCAAACAATCCAGACAAATTAACCAATCAAAATGCAATATAAACACAAAGAAAGTTGAAGCAGCTTGTAATTTTTACCAGCATTACGCGAATGCCCATTAGCTCTGACAGGAGAATCACTACTTGGACCAACGGACACTTCTTCCACCTTCACAGTCTCATCAAATTTTACACTCCCATTTTCCAAATTCCCATTTGGTCCCCCACTCCCATTGCTCTTCGAATCCTCTTGATCCCTCAATAATGGTAGATCAGTCTCTAAATTCAGAACTCTCTTATCCAACTCCTCAAATCTCTTCCTCAAAATCTCCATCTCACCTTCAGCCTTGGCTCTTGCACATTCAAGCTCGCAATTCCTGCTTCTTAAATCAATCATTACCTTGTCCTTCTCTCCAATTCTCTTCACTTCCTCCAACAAATTCTTGCATCTTTCCTCTGCGAGCTTTTCTCGCTCCCTTAAAACCATGTTCTCTTCCCGTAACTTGGACATAGTACTCCTCATTTCCTCGCACTCTTTCTTGCATTTTCTGAGCTCGTCTTGAAGACTCATTTTTTCTAGTCTTTCTTCTTCGAATTTTTCGAAAAACAAATCCTTTTCCTGTTTCAGTGTCTCAATCTCCTGCTTTGATTTGTCTTGTCTTGCCACTAAAACCGCTTCTACCTTGGCAAAATCCTTGGGACGAAAAGTGGATTTGAGGAAAGAAATCAGTCTGGAAATGCTCCAATTGCGGATATTGCCATCTTCGTTCTCTACCAAATCTGGCGAATCACTACCCTCATTTGCCATTTTGTCCGAGAGAGAGAGAGAGAACAAAGAAAAAGAAAAGCGTCGCGCAGAAGAAGCTGGGAAGACCTTCTAGAGTAAGACAAATTTTTTAATGGAATATTTAAGCTAAAAATTTGTTTGTACATAAAAAACAAAATTAAACGGGAATTATAAAATGGGGCAATGCATCATAAATATTTTGAGTGATCCACAGTAGCAAAAAGTAAAAGTACGACAAAGTTAAAGCAAAAAGTAAAAGTATGATAAAGTTAATGCGATAAATGATATTTTAATTTTAAAATTTTTATTATAATAATTAAATTATAAATTTATTAATTATTATAATATTTAAAAAATTATTTATTCATAAAAAATAATTTAAAATTAATTATTTTAAAAATAAATATCATTTTAATTAATAAATTTATAATTCACTTCTTATATTAAAAATTTTAAAACTATAATATAATATTAAATATTATATTATAATTTAAAATTATTTATAATATTAATTGTTAATAAGAATTCAAAATAACGATTTTACCCTTCATTTCATGATTATCTTTTGTTCTCTTTCACTTTTTCTCTCAAAGTTATCAACATCCGTAGAATTTATTCCCAAATCTGGCCAGCCAATTACGTTTTCGAGCTTATCAGTCAGATTAGTGGCAGCAGGCAGATCGATTGGGCTAGCTTCGATCGAAATTCTTCAATCATGATCGAATTAGTGAGGAAAGGGCTGCATTAGTTGCTGAAAAACTGCAGACAGCCGGCAACAAATCCGCATTCCCCTTTCTTTTCTCCTAAAAAATGAAAACTCGAAAGACAAGGACAATAATATTTACAAATTACTAAGTTACAATCTCCTACTTAACAATTATGAAATTTTCATTCCCTTTTCAGTAATTATGTTTGGTTATGGCCTTACGTTATGGTACCCAATCCATCTTTAAAAGCAAGGCTTTTAAGTCCAACAAAATATTGACTCATGTAGAGTGCAGACCGATCTCGACTCATGCCGCCTCTCCACCGTTCCACGGAATCAATGCTGGTAAATTAAAGTTTTCAGTTTTTTTTTTTTTTTTTTCTCTTTTATAAGCAATGGCACCTGCTGCTATAGCCAACGGCCCATGCCGTTTCCTCCTTTATAAAAAGGGATTGAGAAAACAAATATAATTTGGGCTCTTGGTTCAAAATTTTGGTCTGATTAATATGTTAGCAAAGTCATTGGCCCATGGCCTTTTCCTCTCCTATCTAATTAAAAAAAATTATCTAATTACGCAAGGGGATGTAAATTTATTAAAAAAACTATTTTTTTCAATTAATATTAAATAATAGTTTTTATGTTTTTGTGATATTTATTTTTTTAAGTGTCTGATAATGTATATTTTTAAAATTTTAATCTATAAATAAAATAAGTAAGATTACCAATGCATTATTATTGGATTATCCAACTATGATTATGGTTAAATTTTTATTTTAAAATTTTATAAATAAATTTATATATCACCATTCATCATTATTTCTTTCATTACTTATATTAATATATATTGAATGATTATTTTTATTAAATACATGAAATACCATGATAATAGTAATATTAAAAATAAAAAATATTTAAACCTAATATTTAATGTATTATGCTTCACTTGTCGGTTTTTGCACTGTAAATGGAGTGCTGTAGACTTTTTATTTTTTCAAAACTGTAAAAACTATTTGATCATAAATTATAAAACATAAATAAAATAAGAAAAAAATAAAATGATAAATTCCTTTTAATTTTTAATATCATCCATTATTATCCTAAAATAATGTTGTGTTTTATTATCTTGAAAACTTTTCAAAATATTCAAGGCAATTCATGAATAGAGCACCAAATTGTAAGCTTAACCCACGAATGATTGTAATACAAAAATTAAGAATACTTGTAAATTCTACAAATTTTGTATAAGGCCACTTAATTTGGATTTTGGATGGCCATTTGTTAAGTGAACGAAGTTTTATTAGTCATAGCTTATTAGTATTTTAAAAAACAATATTAAAAAATAAATAATAAAAAAAAAGTTCTATTATTCATAATATCCAAATCCAAATATGGATACTATTCGTACTCCATAAATACTTAGAACGTCGCCGTTTTTATAAAGCAACAGAAATCCCCAATTAGCGTTGACTTCTGTAGAGCCCTTTTTTTTTTTTTTTCAACGAAAAGCCCTTTCCACTGCAATTCTATTCCTTCTGGATAGTTCATTCGTTCTCTCTGAATCGAAAATCATCATTTAGACATGGCGTCAAAAGATGCGGATCCTTCGCTCGGGTACTTGACCCGTAAAGACACCGAGGTGAAACTGCCTCGCCCAACCCGTGTCAAAAACAAAACTCCTGCTCCCATCCAGATTACCGCGGAACAAATCCTCCGAGAAGCACGAGAACGACAAGAGGCGGAAATCCGACCCCCTAAACAGAAGATCACCGACACAACAGAACTCGCGGACTATCGCCTCCGCAAACGCAAGGAATTCGAAGACCTAATTCGCCGTGTACGTTGGAACGTCAGCGTCTGGATCAAGTACGCCCAATGGGAAGAGTCTCAAAAAGACTTCAATCGAGCACGGAGCGTGTGGGAGCGCGCTCTGGAAGTAGATTACCGGAACCACACTTTATGGCTCAAATATGCGGAAGTGGAGATGAAGAACAAGTTCATCAACCATGCAAGGAATGTTTGGGACCGTGCCGTCACGCTTCTCCCGCGCGTGGACCAGCTCTGGTACAAGTATATCCACATGGAAGAGATGCTAGGGAACGTCGCCGGAGCTCGCCAGATTTTCGAACGCTGGATGTCGTGGATGCCGGACCAACAAGGCTGGCTTTCCTACATCAAGTTCGAGCTTCGTTACAACGAAGTCGAACGCGCGCGTGCAATTTACGAACGGTTCGTTCAGTGCCACCCCAAAGTCGGAGCTTGGATTAAATTCGCCAAATTCGAGATGAAGAACCGGGAAATTGTACGGGCAAGGAATGTTTACGAACGTGCGGTGGAGAAGCTGGCAGATGAAGAAGACGCGGAGCAGTTATTCGTTGCCTTTGCTGAGTTTGAAGAGCGGTGTAAAGAAACAGAAAGAGCTCGTTGTATTTACAAGTTTGCTCTTGATCATATACCCAAAGGGAGGGCGGAGGACTTGTATAGAAAGTTTGTGGCTTTTGAGAAGCAATATGGAGATAAGGAAGGGATTGAGGATGCCATTGTAGGGAAGAGGAGGTTTCAATATGAGGATGAAGTAAGGAAGAATCCATTGAATTATGACGCATGGTTCGATTATATAAGGTTGGAGGAGAGTGTGGGAAGTAAGGGGAGGATTAGGGAGGTTTATGAGAGGGCTATTGCTAATGTTCCCCCCGCTGAGGAGAAGCGATATTGGCAGAGATATATATACTTGTGGTGAGTTTTTGTGTGCGTATTGGTGGTATTTTTGTATCTTTTTTATTCTGAACCGTCTAACTGAATGTAGGATTAATTATGCTTTATATGAGGAGCTTGATGCAGGAGATATGGAGCGGACGAGAGATGTGTATAGGTATCTTACTTTTTCCTGTTATGAATTTATGGTTCTGTTGGTTGCTACCGTTGCTTATTTGCAAGTGATACCATTACTTTACCATAAGTCATGCCTACTAACTCTGCAAGAAATTTGCCAAACTAGTCAAATGTTTGAATGTATTGTTTCCATGTCTTGCATGTTCACCTAAATTATTGCCCTTTCTGGTGAAATCTTAGCTATGCTCAGGAAGCATGCTGATGAAAAAGGGAAAAAGAAAGAGGAAAATCTTGGATTTAACCTCCTACCAACTACAAAGGAACTTACTTAAGATTGATTGCATCGGCTTTATTCCATCCTTTTTCCAATTGACTGTTTTTTTTCTTTGTTGCATCAGCATTTTCAGTCTTGCATTGGCTGTTTTTCTGTTCCATATTTCCTGTCTTTGCATGGTTTACTCTCTTCTAGTTTATTTATAGACAGCTTTTTATATCCAAAACATTTAGGGAAACAACATTGATTAAAAAAGGAAAGACAATATTTCAGAATGCCCATTGTTTTCTTTGACATGAGTTTATTTATTTTGTTGTGATTTGATGAATTTGCTGGGCTTATAATAGCTAGTAGGTAGTGGATATGATTATTACAACATTTATACAATTTTATTTAGATTGTTGTCTCCTTCCTCATCCTCATCCTAACCCATAGACATAGTGTGAACGCCATGTTTTGGGTGCTTTTCACCGTTGGATGTGTGGTTATAATAGTCTTTGAACGGTTCCTCATTATTTAAAAATTTTTCCAGGGAGTGCCTTAAGCTTATTCCCCATGAGAAGTTTTCTTTTGCAAAGATCTGGCTTCTTGCTGCGCAGTTTGAGATAAGACAACTCAATCTCAAGGGTGCTCGACAAATTTTGGGAAATGCTATTGGAAAGGCACCTAAGGATAAGGTATGTGTCCAGCCTGATGCTGAAAGTTTTATAAATTTGACTAGGTTAAAAGGAAGTTTTCTCATTATGTTGTTTGTTAACATTCAGATCTTTAAGAAGTATATTGAGATCGAGCTGCAACTTGGTAATATTGACCGTTGTAGAAAATTGTATGAGAAGTATCTAGAGTGGGCTCCCGAAAATTGCTATGCATGGAGCAAATATGCCGAGTTAGAAAGATCATTGTCTGAAACAGAGCGGGCAAGGGCTCTTTTTGAGCTTGCCATTACACAACCAGCTTTGGACATGCCAGAGTTGTTGTGGAAGGTATTTGCCTTACGAACAACTGTTTTATGCTGTTCATAGTTACATGTTTTTTTATAGTCAAGATAGACACCACTAAAATAAGTGCTGGGTGGGAGGGGAATTACCTAATTATCTTGTCTGTATGTCATACTTGATAATTTTGTCTTATCACTTCATCCATGATGTTTAATGAGTTTTCTCATCTCATGATTAAGGTTTTCCTAGTGACATTTAAAAAAAACAGTTGCAGGTTTGCTAGGCGATACATACATGGTACAAACATTTCAATCACTTTGGGGTCTTTAAGAGTGATTTCTCCATTTTCCCTTGTTTTTTCTTTATTGACTGATAACTGTTGGTTTTGTAAGAATTTTATTTATTGTTATATTATAGCAATTGGTGGTAATGCTTCTCATTCTCTGATGACAGGCATACATTGATTTTGAAATTTCGGAAGGTGAGAATGAACGAACTAGACAATTGTATGAGAGACTTTTGGATCGTACAAAACACTTAAAGGTCTGGATTAGCTATGCAAAGTTTGAAGCCTCTGCAATGCAGGAGAATAATGGGTGTTCAGACTTGCCACAAGATGGGGTCCAGGAACATCATCCTGAAGAAAAGAAGGGATGTGTTCAGCGTGCAAGAAGTGAGTTTAGACCTGTCCAAATTTTGCTGCTGTACAGTGTACATCTACTTTGATCATTTAATGGTAGAACAAATTCTTACCCCTTATTTTTTACCAGGAGTCTTTGAAAGAGCAATTAACTATTACCGGACATCAGCACCAGAATTAAAAGAGGAACGTGCTATGCTCCTGGAAGAGTGGCTTAACATGGAAAGCAATTTTGCTGAGCTTGGCAACATTAGCCTGGTCCAATCTAAGTTGCCAAAGAAACTCAAAAAGAGGAAGCAAATTAAAAGTGAGGATGGTGCTGTTGCCGGGTATGTAACTCACCCATTTATTTTTCAGCTGCCAGTTGCTTGGATCAATCATGTTACTGTCTTGCAGTCTTGCTGCATCTTTAGTTGTTCTTTTGAATCAAGCCATCAGGGACTGAGGCCTTTGGGGCTTAAGCCACTTGCCATGCTTCATGTAGTCAACATAGTTCTCTATGTTCCACAGTCTCTGAAATTGTGGGGCTATTTTTCCTAGTTGTTCCTTAATCCTTAATTCCTCATATTCAAGTTGTTTTTTACACTTCCATAGAGGGTCTTATTGTTTGTGTGCATTGTGCCCTATTGGCCAGTTTTAGTTTCCACATTTTCATTCATTATTTTCGTTTTCTGATTTCACATATTTGAAGACAATGCATCAAACTCTGACCAAAAAAAAAAAAAAACCATGTGTCAAACCCCATTTAAACAAAATTAGTCTTTAATGAATAGATACATTTACAGTGTTTTCTATGAATACTAAATGTGGATTATTTGGCTTGACAGGTATGAAGAATACATTGATTACGTATTCCCAGAAGAAAACCAGGCCACGAACCTTAAAATTTTAGAAGCAGCATACAAGTGGAAAAAACAGAAGATTTCTTCTGATGAAGAGTAGGAGTATGTCTGTGTTGTAGCCTTTTTTTTGTACTGCCAAATGTAAATACAAGCATGCCGGCTTAGCTGAGTAATTCTTTATGCATTGTTTATGTTTTGAAAAACAAGCCTTTAAGGGAAGCAGTCTCTGGAGCCTGTTACGGGACAAGCACTTTTATCATATGAAATGAGTTAACATAGTTTACGAAATTCCCTTGTATGAATTTGCCGACACTTGTTATTGAAATGGATTTTAACCTTGGAGAGTTTCCTTAGACAATCCCCTATATTGTTATTCGTTTAATCCGCAAATAAAGTCCTATCTCTTTAGTCTGGACAAGGAGTCTCGAAATCTAATTCTAGAAAGAACAATTTTGCATGTAACGCTGCGGATAATTCAAGAGAAAACCAAGTCTCTGTAAGAATCGACAATGATTCTTTGACTGTTAGGATGGTGTAGTAATGTCTAAATTAAAACTCATGGGTGCTGAACAATATTCCATTTTAGGCCAGTTCTAGCTTGAGATGCTTGCTTGCAAATTGTCCCGGAATCTGATTGAAGTATAAATGATACTTAAAATAAGTTAACTTAATGCATAAGTAGGGGAAAATGATACTAAAGCTGGTTTGCCCGAGAGGTTAAGGGGGAAGACTTAAGATCTTCTGTACATAAGTACGCATGGGTTCGAACCCCATAGCCAGCATGATTTTTTAGTTTATTTATTTATTCAATTTTATGGATCAAACTCATCCCAATCCTACCGAGGCTGCCAGCAAGATTTATCAGGTAACGTTTTTATTTATTTGCTGCCAGCAAGACTTATCAGTTAACCTTTTTATTTATTTTTTCAATTTTAATCCAGCACAATCCTAGCGAGGCTTCTATGATCGATCACCTATACCACACAGTCTAAGAGTAGCCATGTTTTCTTCTTTCACCATATTTTCTTTTTTATTTTTCTGCAGTGAAATTGGGATTAGTGAATTAAAAACTTTTGCACTGGGCTGGGCTGACTGGCTTGTAAAGCCTTCACCAAATGCCCTAGTCAAAATCTAACATGTTAAGGACTCCAGTAAGCAGCTAGACTCTCCATTCAGAACTTCCATAGGAGATTAAAAATTCCGATTCAAATTATTTTGCGCAGACGATCCCAAATTTGGTCCTCCCTTCTAGTCAACTTCTTATTTTACGTTTTGATACGGAAAATTAGTTTAGTTGTAAACTTAGTTACAGGCAAGCACATGGTAACAAGGAATGGCCTATGGAAATGGGAACACAGCTACACACGAAAACGTCCTTGAAGTTAGGCTCCACCTTTCCATGTGGTCTCTATACACTCGTTAAAGTAGGTTATTTTTTTGTAATTTTATAATTAAGTTAAATTTTTTATTTTTTATTAATTAATTTTAATTAAATATTTAACGTAATATCAAAATCAAAATTTTTATTATTATTATTTTAAAATTTATCACATGATGAATTTTTTTTTATCTTTATCTACATATAATGAGAACTTATTAAAATAATGTTATCTAATATTTAATAAATATTTAATTTTTTATAATATTTATATAAATTAAATATCTTTACTTATTATTAATTAATTTTAAATTTGATACTTAATATTATTAATTACAATTACACAAAGCTTATTTGCCACAAAGTGAGAGTTCAATCCTTAAATAATAAACATTCTTATCAAGGTTGGAAAAAGCCGTATTTAATCTTTCATGCCAATTCTCCCGTACTTTGGTTTTACATGCAAAATTTACAAATAAAATTACTTTCATATTGGATTAAATTACCAAATCACTTTAATACCGTATTCAATTTATTTGTATCACTTTAATTTTAAAATAACTTATGCCTATTCATGTATATAATTATATTTCAAGATTATATTCACTTTAATCGGTGCTAATTTCATTTGTAAGATTTTTTAATAAATTCTTAATAAAAATTATGAAATAAATACTTATTTAATCAATAATTATGTGATCTATTAATAAAATATTAAAATTTTAATTTTAATTTAATAATAAATAAATTTAAATAATCTTAAATATTAAAAAACGGCAATTATATTTTGGTTGGATATACTCACGTGGAAAATTTTTTTTTTTTTTTAAAGTTGATGCTTAACTCTTTGAAATGTGGTCTGTAATCTGCAATTTTCTCTTTGCAAATTGATTAGAGAAACAAGTCAAAACTTAAAAGTGCAAAAATAAAACTAAATTGAAACTCCGAATGTTAATCAGGACAAGACAAAAGACAAAGTGTGGGGACATTACCCACGTGGCATCACGTTGAATTTTTAGCCACTTATTTTCAAAACATGAAATTATCGCGTTTTTTTGGCAATCCGAGAAAATGAGATTTGCTACCTTCTTAAATTCAATGATTTTGAACGTATTAGAAACCGAAATCTAAGGGCACTTGCATGGAAAGAAGCGCCAAAATTTCTTTCTCATTGTCATGGACCAAGGCCAAGACAAACAAACAAAAAAGTAAAATTTATAATTTCCCCCCCTTTTTTTCTCTCTTTCTTTTCCCTCAAAATGTCTCCAAATTTGCAATTATTTTATCTCTTCTCATTGCATTTTGATCGGCAGATGGAATATTCGCTTTCAATTTCCCGGTAAGATTTGTTTTTTAAAAAAGGTATTTTTCTTCGTTTGATTGTCAATATAATAATAAATCTCATAAAAACGGATCTCTTGATTCATCTTAAAATATTCTGGTTAGATTGTACCCCGAATTGGATTCTATAAAATTTTACGTAGTTCTCAAAGAATGTCATTCCTTATCTAAACATAATGGACGTTTTAACGATTCGATGCAGTAATAATCCCATAATTTAATTAAAAAATTTTGATTAGAAACCTTCAATCACCTGCTTAAGATTGCTAGGCCATGGAATTGATGTTGGCTGGTAACTTTCTTAAAGGGGGAGGTAGGAAAAGGTGTTTGAATTTTGAGATTCAAAGGTAGGGGCTGTTATTGGCCTTTGAAGATGACATTTCAAACCTCATGCACCACTACCCGTCACCCAATCTTTGGAAATCTGGATTTATTAAGGGACCACCATTTTTTTTTTTTTTTGTGGGCTTTATTGTCAAAATCATATAAAGCTATGTCGTAGAATAATTGTTATGTGATGTATGTTAGATTAGATCCCTTAGCTGAAGGAAGATTCCTTGATTCATATGTGTTGAGGGCAACAAAGGTATTTGTCTTGTTTTTCCTCTGTTTGTTGCCTGAGGGTATATACAATTGAAGACTCTGTTCTAGGATAGGGGGCTACCGAAATGTGTGGTTGATTTTATAATTTGCATCTTCTATTAGGATTTTTGACAGGGTAGTATTGTCATTAATGAATTCTTAATGTGCCAAAGAGACCTTGTTTCAAAAACAAGTAGGAGGCCTTGGAACCTTTAGATCTCGGGTTCAAGTTCCATCTGGTGTGAGTTTTTTCCAATTATATGTTGCTTTCTTGGTTGGTTTATTGATTTTTTTTTCTTGATATATGTTAAAGGTTATTTGATTATGATTGTAATTTCATAAAAAAATAAATTCTTAATGTAGATAGGTCAAGCATGTAAGTTGAAGATTTTGACAAGCATGCCTCATTGCATGTTTTTTCAAAACCAAACTATTGCAAGATTTTGAACTTTGAGCAGTTCGTATAAATGTTTGATGCGACAATTCTCGTGTACACCGTATGATGTGTGGATTTTACAAAGGTCTTTGTTTTTTCTTCACTCTGCAGATGAAGTAATTTTCTTCTATTGCTACTCTTTCTTTGATGTACGCATTTTCTATGTTAGTCAAGAGGGGAGAAACAGTAAGGGTAAACCATCTAAAATGCAGTGACCGCCCAAACTGTTTTCAAGGATATGTTTAAGTCTAAGGACTTTACCATGTTTGAATGAAGTGATGTCAAAATAATTCATTAATGTTATGTCACCTTATTTTCAGAGATTTAGTTTGATGGTTTTGAGATGGACAATGCTTGTTTTTGCTTGGGGAGGATCCATTCATTAAATTTGCTGCAAATTTCATAATGGAGATGAAGCAATAAAGAATGACAAAAACCTCTGGGGGTTATCCTGATACTCAAAATGATGGAGGACGTGGAAGTGACTAAAACAGGTTCGTAGAAATTAATGGAATCCAAAAGAATGCACTTTATTTTGCTGTAAAATCAAATTTGCGCCGAGTTGATATCTTCCATGGCTACCCTTCTTTTATCGTCCTCTCATATTAATGGAGAATCAAGGATAGCATGGCTGTCATTACAAAATCTTTTCTCACTAATTTACTAAATATATCTAAACTTCTATCTATTGGATGTAAACTTTTTAATGTATGCTCAATCAGTTTTGTCAGTGGTCGATAGGCTTTTCATTTGAAAAGTACAGTTTCCTCTTATTTTCATGTGGTTTCACTTCTTAATGTAAACCTTAATGGATGCATGTCTACATAGTTATTTGCATTTTATGTGTCGTTTTGGCTAAGGTAATACAATAATTAACAATAAAATTTTTGCCAGAAAAAAAATTCCCCATTGTCATCTTTAAATAGGCGTATAGCCATATACCATATACATGAATGGACAATGGTTCCAATTCACTGCCATTCACCAAGTGTGAAATTCTTTTGGTAGTGACTAGAGAGTTGCCAAGCTTGTCGCCATGTTTATGTTTCTGCAAAAGCAAGGTCCACGATCTGCTTATAATATTTGCCCTATAGAGAGAAACTTAACAGGGTCTTGTAATAATTTCCTATTTTATAGTTACAATTGTCAGCTTTATGAGTAATTAGTTGATTACCTTAGGTAGCTGTCATCGTTTAGCGTTAATTGTTTTGTCAACTCTCCTGATTTGTGTTTGCTGTTGTAAAGTCTCAAGTGCTTTTTACTAAGATCAAACGAGTTTTTCATTTTCTCCGATAGCCACTTCATTTGATTTTGACGTAACAGATTCAGAAGTTCCCTGTTTTTTTTGCAGATGCTGAAAAGAAAGTGGAAAGAATCTTGAAACTCATTAAGAGGAGAAATAGATCAAAAAAGGAGCCAGAACTTGTTGGACTTGTTGAGGACTTTCACAAACAGTACCAGTCGCTCTATGCCCAGTATGATCATCTTAAAAGAGCATCAGGTAAGAAGGCTCTCGATGGAAAAGGAAATGAAAGTTGTTCTTATCATACCTCTCGCTTGGATTCAGAATATTATTCTTCTGATGATACAGAAATTAACACTGCATCTAGTAACAATAGAAGTTCCCAAAAAATGATGGCAGGCAACATGGAGGAGAACTTGAAAAGGCATACGTAGAAGTTGCTGACCTGAAGCATCAATTGGCCTCTAAGACAGAAGAGAAGGAAGCTGTAGCTTCAGACCATCTGGCTGCTTTAAGTAAAATTCAAGAAATAGAAACCATCAATAGAGATTTGAGAAAAGAAGTGGATGAAAAAGAAAAAGAGACTTTCTGCTCTTGGAATGGTGCAAAAGGGACAGGCAACTGAGCCACGGGAACAGTTAACTTGCTTGAAAACTGAGCTGGAATCTCTGCAGCTCCAGAAAATAGATTTGGAAGCTCAGCTTAATGGTAAGACAGATGAAGCTAAAAAGCAAGGAGAGGGATATAAGGCACTGCATGCACAGATCTCGGAGGAAGGAGATGAAGTAACTAAACTCATGAAGCAAATCAAGGACAATGAAAACAATTAACATCTAAAATTGAGGATTCAATGGCACTGGTCAGCAATCCGAAAAAAGAGGTGGACTGTTTGCGTGCCCAAAAATGTGAAGCCGTAGGAAATATAGCATGCAAAAGTAATGAATCATTCAATCAAGAAAATGTAATGAAGCAAGAATTGGATTCCCTACGCAGCCAGAAAACTGAATTAGAAATTCTGCTAGAGAGGAAATCCAAAGCAATCTCCCAGTATCTGATTCAAGTGAAAACCCTGAAAGAGGAATTAGCAAGAAAGAGTGCTGTTGAGCAGATAATGGTAGAAGAAAAAGAAAGCTTACAGGTGCAGGTGATGGACTTGGAATCAGAGGTGGATGCTCTATGCAAACAGAAAAATAAATTAGAAGATGAACTGAGGAGTAATATTCGTGAAATCAATCAATTGAGAGAGGAAAAGGGTCAACTGAATGCAAGAATTTTAGAATTGGAAGCAGTATTTCGAGAGAGACACTTCGAGCTTTCTGCTCCTCAGGAGGACAGCAAAAGTAAAAGGGTTAAAGAAACTGCTCAGATGAATGCGGAGGTTGAACTTCAGCAACAGAAGTTGAATTCCATGAAGATGGAGAAAAGCCAATTGGAGTTATGGATTTCTGATCAGCAGAGAATGACGAAAGAAAGAGAGGAAAGCACTAACAAATCTATGGAGTCTAACTCTAAGCAGGTCAGACGATTGTCGTTAGGAAACAAGTTTAATTACCATGTCCTAGAAAGAAAGATGGAGGATTTAGCACAAGAGTTTCGCAAGAAAGTTGAAGATAACATCCGTCTTTTGTACCAGAGGATCACGGTTGCTGACAAAAGACATTATGAGAACAAAGAGATTTACAAGATAACAAAAGAAAGGCTAGAGCAAGAAAATGAAGCACTTGAACTAAAGCTCGCCACTTGTGAAGCTGAGTTCAAGAAGTTAAGGGATAAAATAGAGGCAGGAAAAGATGCATCGACTGCATTAAATTCAGTGGTGAATAAGTTAGAAGTTGATGGAAATTCCTCGACCTGCATTTCAAAAGTCGCAGATGAGCTTGTTTCTGCAAACGACTGTGACTCAACAGGGAGGGAAAATGGAATAGAAGAGGTGAAGAATAATGTGGATTCATTGGTAGCAGAAATGGATAAGGAAAACGAGGAGGAGTTACTAAGGGAGAAGGTGTTGAATTTGGAAGCTAAGTTGAGTGAGGAAGGAGAAGCAAAGTTGAAGCTGTTGAAAGCCGTGAGTGAGCTTGGGAATAGAGTGGGAGAATTGGAGGAAATCACGACAGAAAAGGATGAGACATTGTTGGGTCGTGAAGAAGAGAAGAGGGAAGCCATAAGGCAGCTCTGCCTCTTGATTGACTACCACCGCTGCCGCTCTGACTATCTCATGGAATTGATCTCAAAGTTCACTGTTAGAATCGAGAAAAAGTCATGAACTTTTCTCAACTGTTACCACTACATTTTTTTCATATAAATCTCAATTTATTAATTAATTTTTTTTTGTAAAAAAAAATTCTTTTGTTCATAACTTTAATAAAAGTGATTATTTCTATTCATTAATTTACCTTTTTCCCTCTAATTTCTATTCATTAATTGGAATGTTTGGCCAAAAAATCATTGAGACTAGTATTGGATTAAGGGGTAGTACCGAAGGGTACAAACCTTGGAAGGAGTTTGGTGAAATTTAAAGATGTAATTAATTAAATTTAAACCGATATAATATTATGTTTGAGTTGAAGTTCGAAAGATTTAAAATTTAACTTAAATTTGATTAAATTTTATTTTTTTAATTTAAATTTGATTTATAATAAAAATTAAATTATTTAACTTCGTTTAATTAAATTTAATTAATATAAAAATAAATTTGATTTATATAATCGATAAAACTTTGATTATTTATATTTTAAGTTTAAACTCGAATTTAAAATAATTTTATTAATTAAAATAATAAAAATATATTAAAATATAAAAATTTTATTAAATTCATTACCTACTTAAGTTAAATATAAAAATATTTAAATTTGATATAATCAATAAATTAAATTATTTAAACTTTAACTTAATTCAATAATAATTAAATTAAATTCAAAATTTATTTTAATTAAATTTATGTAACTTGCGAATACTCATTTACGTATCATTTACACTAATAATGAAGTGCCAAAAAAACAGATTTTTCTACGTTAATCGCCAGCGAATTCAAATATCAAAATAAACGGGAATATACCAAAAGATCGGGAAAACAATATACAATCATCTCGCGTTTTCTTCAGACGAGAAATTAAAGGGCATAACTGCAATAAAAGAACAAATGCAAGGGTAGTTAATATTAAAGAAAGTTCCAAGGATTCCATACCATATCCTGAAAATTGAAGAGCTACAAAATGCTAGGGAAAGTGCTCTAATCCAAACAAAATCGCTTTCACCATTTGTTCTTTTATAATTAACTGTTCGTTTCATTTCTCGAAAGGAAAAAAAAAAAAAAACAGGCACGCTCTCTCTCTGAGTTTTTTTTTTGCTCTGTTTTTCAGATTCTTCTTCTTGATCTAGCTTTGGAGCTCTGAGTCGGAGGTTATCTTTGATTATCAACTGATTAATCTTCATTTAGTTTCTTCTTTGATTACTTGAAACTTCAGTTTCAATCAAAACTTTTGGTCTTTAGCCGAATCAACTTGAGTAACTTCAGTTTTGATGGTTGAATTTTTGTTCAGTTATCTTTTTTTTTCTTGTTATTTTTATTGATTTTATAAAAGAATTTAAGGTTTGATTTACTCTTTCTCTTAAACATAAAATATCTTAGATCTTTTTTTCTTCCTTGAATGTTTGATTTTATATGGATTTGCAATAATCCATGTGCTTTTGATTTTACTAATAAAAATCACTGCTAACTTTAGAATTGAAAATGGTTTAAGATTAAAATTATATTAAGATCATGATTTTCAGTTCAAGTCAATGATATTCTTCTTCTTCTTCTTAAAAAAAATTCAATATTTTCTTCGTTTTGAACTGGCTGTTTACATCGGTTTAGATTCGATTTTTTATCTTAAATTCAATGTTTTACTCTTTTAATTTGAATGAAAAAAAAATCCATTTATTTTTGCAGAAACTTAGCAAAGCTTCCTAATCAAGATTGAGAAAGGAAAGTGAAGAGAAAGTCTCAGGTGAATAATGCCAAATTACTACTTCTACTCCTTATTGTTTATTTATTTATTTACTTTAACAAGTTAAAAGTTTTTATTTACATTTTATTTTCATTTTTTTTTAATAATAGTATTTCTTTTTCATATACCATAAAAAAGTTTTTGAGTAATTGCGTGATAATTAGTGGGCCTTGCCTTGTGTTGTATGAACGGAGAAAAAGGAAAGAACAAAAAGAACAGCTCAGCTTTTTCCAAATAATATATCTTTTATCGTTCCAAATCAGCTTCTATATTTCTGAGTGCGTTATTACATTCCCCAGTGAATGTGATGATGAGATGGCGCCAGACTAGAATCATATCTGCCACTTGTTGTGCTCCTTGAACAAATTCTTAGCCCATTTAGGCATTTAGCTGTTTTTTGTTTTTTGGTAGTCTAATCAAATCATTAATCTTGCTTATTATGCTTAACCATGATATGGTAAATAGTAATGCTAGTGCATGCCTTGGTTATGTGGACCCATGTTCTATTATGGGCCCATGCATGTTCTCAGAATCATGTTCATAAATTTTCTATTACTATTTGATAAATCCTATAAATGCTTAGATTAGATCCCGAGTCCCAACTTTTTTTTTTTTTGATAATACCAAGTTGAAAAAAGATAGTTGCTTTTAGATTTTGTTATTTTGAGCTGGATTGCAAGTAGATGGGTTTGGGTTTGATTTGTTTCTTTGTGATTAGAAAGTAGTACATATTTACCAAAAGTAATATTTTCTCTTTGACTTTGTTTCTTAATTTCATTGTTTGTGTTGTGGTAAGGGCAAATAGTTTTTGAATATAGGGGAGTGGGTTTGGGGCCACCCTATCTATAGTCGGCTATGGCTTTGTTGGACAGGGTCATGAATCATACATTTATTAAAACTTAATGCTCAGTAGGTGGAAAAAGAAAAAGTATTAGGTATTGAACAATTGAGATCATAGGATAAAAAATAAAAATATGGTTAGATTCTTGTTGCTGATCTTTCTCACTTTCTGGACTGTTTGGAATTCGGTTGGAAATTGGAATCCATATGATGGATGGTTGAGTTGGATTGGTGCAATACCTTGCGATTTAGTAATCTATCCCATTTCAAACGGGATTTAGTAATTTATCCCGTTTCAAATGCTTTATAAATTCCTAGTCCGGATATAAATCTTGAGAAGAATTGTTTATTAAAGGAGGACGCCCTGTGTAGAACAACATGATGGATTGATAACCACCACTTTCATTTTCATTTTTCAAAACAAATTGATAATATTTAAAAGCTGTCCACCACACTGCTGGTTAAGTCTGCGACATATTTATCATATCCATTAGGAGTTTGTAGCATTTTTAGTGTTTTCTCTAGCAATAACGAGGGGCCTCCGTCCAAACAATACCATTGTTAATTGAGACAATTTACTTCTGAACAGGGCATTAGTTTGCCAGTTGTTATAATACCAGAAGTCTTTGGTTAAAGTATTTTAAATTAAAGTTTTTTAATGGATATTCGGCAGTTTAGGGTCCTCAATATATTATACGTTTACAACTCTTGGAATCGATCAGTCATGTTAGAAGTAGGTTGTATAGTTTCTGGTTGACAAGGTTTGACACTAATTACAAGGTATCCTTAATTCTGCTTTTCAGATTTTATGCTCGAGATGGAGATTGCCTTGTCTTCGTGCACACGTGCTGAGCAAAATTAGTTGGTAATCTGACTAAAAGATGACCAAGCATCGTTTCAGGGAGTCTATAAAGTCCTTCTTTGGGCATCATGTTGATCCAGAAAAAGATGAACAGCTTAAAGGAAATAAAATAGGTGAACTGTCTACATTTTACTGATTATTTGTGGGTGCAATTCTCCATTTATTGATAAATTTTATTCATGTATGTTCTGAAATGCCACAATCAGCTGAACATGATTTTCCACTTATGATTTACTTCATTTTGTTTTGTATCTCAAGACTAAATTCTTTTCACTACAGAAATTGATGACAAGGTGACAAAAATATTGAAGCTCATCAAGGATGAAGAAATCGAAGAAAATGATGGGATCTCAATAACTAACTCCAGCAAGGATTCACTTGTCCAGTTAATTGAGGATTTTCACAAACACTATCAAAATCTCTATGCACAATATGATCATCTCACTGGGGAGCTGAGGAAAAAAGTTCATGGCAAACGAGAAAAAGATGCCTCCTCTTCGTCAAGTTCAGATTCAGACTCTGATTATTCTTCAAAAGATGGAGGCAGTAAAAATGGAAAATTGGAGAATGAATTCCAGAAAATAGCAGAAGGGATTAAACAAGAACTTGAAACAGCAAATCTGGAAATTGCTGACCTCAGGAGAAAGCTGACAGCTTCAAGTGAAGAAAAAGATGTTTTGAATTCAGATTATCTAGCTTCTTTAAGCAAGATGCAAGAAGCAGAGGAAATCATCAGAAATCTGAAGCTTGAATCTGAAAGATTGGAGAGTGAAAAATCAAAACTTGCGGTTGAGAATGAAGAGCTGGGGCATAAACTGGACACTCATGCTAAGATAGAAGCTGAGGTGAATCAGAAATTGGAAGATCTGAATAGAGAAAACAATAACTTAATTCTAGAGAAAGAGACTGCTGTTAAAAGAATTGAAGATGCTGAGAAGTTTAGTGAAGATCTTAGAAGAGAAGTTGATCAACTGAAAGAGGAAAATATAACTCTAAAGCAAGAGCTAGAAAGTGTTAGGGGCGAAGTTTCCAATATGCAGCAACAGCTGGAATCTGCAGAACAGCAAGTTTCAGAATTAAGCCACCGCCTTAATGCTACTGGGGAAGAGAATAAATCCGTGAATTCCAAACTTTCTGAGGTTTCAAATGAGATTCTGCAGGCACAGGACAAAATACAACGACTCATGGCTGAAATGAGTCAGTCGAAGGAGGAACTTTATGAGAAAGAAAGGGAACTTTTGATGCTTGCAGAGTTGCATGAGCTGCATGGGAGTCAAACATCTGCTCAGATAAAAGAATTAGAGGCACAAGTGACAAGCTTGGAAATCGAGGTGGAATCATTCAGAGCAACAAACAGAGATATGGAGGTGCAGATAGAGAAAAAAGCAAGTGAAGCAAAACATCTGGAAGAGCAAAATATAGGACTGCAATCCCAAATTTCAGAACTTGAGATGATGTCAAAAAAGAGAGAAGAAGAACTTTTGACTCTAACCAAGAAAATTGAGGATAATGAGAAAGAATCATTGTCCAGAGAGGAGAACTTGACAGTGCAGATCAACAGTCTGCTAGTGGACATGGAGTCGCTACACACCCAGAAAGCTCAATTGGAAGAACATATAGTATTTAAAAGTGATGAAGCATCAACTCAAGTCAAGAGCTTAATGGATCAGATATATACATTACAGAAGGAGCTGGAGACCCTGCATAGCCAGAAAGCAGAACTGGAAGTGCAGCTTGGGAGAAAAACTCAAGCTATTTCAGATTATGTTATTGAGATAGAAAAGGCAAAAGAAGAGATAGTAAGCAAGACTGAGGATCAACGGAAAGTTCTGAAGGAGAAAGATGGTTTGCTGGCACAAATTAAGGATCTAGAATTTGAGGTCAATTCTCTAAAGAATCAGAAAGGTGAACTGGAAGAGGAATTAAGAACTAAAATCGAAGAGTATGGTCAGTTGAGGGAGGAAAAGTTGGGGTTACAGGGTCGAACCGTTGAATTAGAGAAAACATTGGCAGAAAGAAGTCTTGAGTTCACTGCTCTCCAGGAAAAACATGCAACCGCAGAGAATAAAACTTCTTCTCAATTAACAGCCCTAGTGGTGCAGGTCAACAATTTGCAGCAGGAGTTGGATTCCGTACTGTCCCAGAGAAATGAACTGGAGTTGCAGCTTAAGAAAGAGAAACAAGAATCATCAGAAAGATTGACAGAAATGGAGAACCAGAAATCTGAGCTAGAAAGCCAAATTAACAATCAGCTGAGAATGCTAGAAGAACAGGGGGAGGCGTATAAGAAGTTGACCGAGGAACACAAACTGGTCGAGGGCTTATACCAAGAGTGCAAGGCAAATCTTGAAGTTGCAGAAAGGAAGATGGAAGAAATGTCAGAAGAATTCCTGGGAAACATTGAATCTAAAAGTCAAATGGCAGTTGATCTGAAGCAAATGGTTGAGGACCTTCAAAGAGATTTGGAAGCAAAGGGAGTTGAGAAAGATGACTTCATAAACCAGATTACAGATCATCAGAGAATGCTAAAGGAACAAGAAGATGCATTTAACAAGCTAAGCGAGAAGTACAATCAACTTGAAACTTCATTTCAGGACTGCAAGGCAATTATTGAAGTCACAGAAAGGAAGATGCAAGAAATGGCAGGAGAGCACAATAAGAACGTTCAATCAAAGGATCAAATGGTAGCTGACCTGGAGCAAATTATTGAAGACTTGAAAAGAGATTTAGAAATGAAAGGAGATGAGCTCAGTACTTTGGTTGAGAACGTCCGCACAATTGAAGTTAAGCTCCGGTTGTCAAACCAGAAACTTCGTGTCACAGAACAGTTACTAACTGAGAACGAAGAGAGCTTCAGACAAGCAGAAGCAAAGTTCCTGGAAGAACAAAGAATACTTGAAGAAAGGGTCACGACGTTGTCCGGAATAATTGCTGCAAACAATGAAGCCCATTGCAGGATGATCACTGATATCTCAGACAATGTTAATAGTAACTTGACTGGATTTGAAGCCGTCATCCAGAAATTTGAAGAAGGCTATAATAACTACGAGCATTGTGTTGAAGAAACATTGAAAGAGCTAAGGATTGCTAAGCACTGGGTTGCAGAGACAAAGAGCGAGAAGAAGCAGCTGATGGATGAAATGACTAATTTGATTGAGCAACTGAAAGGTCAGATAGAACAAGGCTCTATGTTGCGAGAGAGAGTTGAGAAGCTACAGAATAAGGCAAACAAGGAAGAAGGCGAGAAGGAGAGTCTGGTGAAATTCGTGAAGCTTCTGGAGAAGAAAATCGAAATCTTGGAGACGGCGATGAAAGAGAAGGATCAAGGTCTATTGGGTCTAGGAGAGGAGAAGAGGGAAGCCATTAGGCAGCTGTGCGTTTCGATTGATTATCACCGCAGCCGCTGCGATGATCTAAAGGAAATGCTCTCCAAAGCTGTCAGAATCCAGAGGGCAACCTAGAAGAAGAATTCCATTATCTTCATTCTGGTTTTGCATTTATGGATTATTTTTCATTATTTCATTTTTTCTACTCAGACAGATTGGACTGTTGAAAAAAAAAAAAAGAAGCATTCTCAGGTGATGTTCGGTTAGCACAAGCTACATGTCTCATAAAACTTGGTTGCGCGTAAAGATAAAACTACAGTATTAGGATTTTCTCATCGAGTTTGTTTTCTATTTTATTTTCACATCCGAGATTAAAAAGATTATATATGTTTTTATTATATCTTAAAAAATATGTGCAAATGCTTTTTGTAAAGACTAAAAAATTTGGCGGTGGATTAGATAATTTTCCATATTAAAAGCACTTAAACTTAGGCTCTCAAACATGAAATATTCATTACTATTAGTCTTAATTGTCATATTATTAGTCGTAAATGGATTAACAATAGGCAACAGAATGTTTAAAAGTCAGTAGAAAAGAAATCTATCAGAATGTATATCAGCTGCATCATTTCCTGACAAATATATTATTTTCTGAAAACCTCCTGAAAAATACTTATTGCCACAGCGCAGTACATATGAATAAGAAAACGAAAACCTAAGGACTGAAGAAAGATGGCTGTAAGTGAGTTTCAATAAAGCTGAATTCAGGCACTAAATGTCCTCTTACCTTGAGAAGGGAAAGCAATTCCTGATACTATACCCCTTCCCTTCTTCTGCTTACCTAAATGAACCCAAAAGTTTGACCAAAAATCCTGGAGTTCCTTCAGTCAGATATCCTTAACTCAACTCCAAGAACATCCTTCACCAATTCGTATGTAACAAATGCTATTGCTATCGACGGAACCACCTGAAGAAAATGGCAAAGAACATCTATTGTTTAAATGGAAAGTAAAAGGGTAAGGAGTATAAAACTACAAACACTTTTATTCAAACAGAATGCAAGAAAGATGACCAAGATGCTACACTAACCTTCACTGAATTGGGAACCAAACCCTTGTATAATGCCCTGAAACCCTCATACCGAACTGTTTTCCTGAATGCATCAACCATACCAGTATATTCAATGGCGGCCTTGCTCTTTCCATCACCGGTGACAACTGAAGCAGCGTCTTTCCAGCCTACCATCTGCATTCTACGTCGAATGACATCAAGAGGGTATGCAACTGTCTGGCCAACAGTTCCAGCAGCAGCCCCACATGCAAGCCTTGTAGTGACACCCAATTCAGAGTCCTCAACTAGCCCGAATGGTTTGCTTTTGATCAACCAGTCTTTCAGAGATTCATAAACCGCAAAGTTAAGACCCACATAGGGTACCTATAACAATAGACATCATAAAAACCATTTAGGCCTTTGCATACAAACTAATTCAGGCAAACCAGAAATGGAACTCATCATCCTAGCTGAAGTCTACATCCACCTAAATGCAGATTCCTAAAGTGCAATTAGCAGTAAACCATGCATGCATCCATACCACAAAAGTTTTACTTACAACTCCTATTACAGATGGTAACCAGCCTTTGTACAAAGCACGGGGACCTTCTTCTCGTAGTACTGTTGACAGAGCATGGAAGATTCCTCTATACTGGCGAGGTGACTTCTCAGTCTGCAAATATAACATGTGGACATTAGCCATCAAAGTGATAACAAGAGGCAAGCTTGTCCCTGCAGGCAAAAGACAGTTGATCCAACAACATTCAAATAAAACATTACCTGGACAGTTAGACGACCTCGTACCATATCCATTGGATAAGTAGCTGACATGGCAATAATTCCAGCACATGCACCAGCTCCAAGGCGTAGAAATGGAGTGAGTTGAGCATCCTCTGCAAGACAAAATCAAGAAAGTAATAAGTAAATACACTCATAGCAACATCGACAATTACTACGGAATGCAAACTCATCTTCTGTCAATCAGGGCCATAAAACAGATTCCATTTTGCCCATTCAGCACTAGTCCATAGTTGAAGGAAGAGAATAGCACAACAGGCACCAACACAAGATTCATTTACATACTTCAACAGTACTGCATGCAGACAGAAAGGAATGCACAGCCTTTGTCAACACAATCTAGTGCACTTGTTTCTTTCGACACGAACTTAGATATACAGCACGCTAAGTTCACAAGCAGTACACATTTGCCTCAAAAATTGCATAGAGTCAATGAAATTGAATCATACCAATCAGCTTCACATCTAAGAACATTTACAAGTGTAGTTGAGCGATAAATAAAAACAACGATTATAAAGTCAAAAATGATATAGGTATACCATTCCCTGATTGCTGCCGGTAAAGGTATAAAATCCCCCTATATTCACAAAGAAGTAAAAAGGAAGATATTAGTTCATACTTTGTTACGATTATTCAAAGATAAATCTTCACTTTTTGAACATTAATATATGCATCCTTTGACTGGTTAAGGAAAAAAAATTGTGATAACAACAGAAGGTTAATAGTGAAGTAAGGAATAGCCAAGGCTTACTTAGATGCTTCCTCATAGCTAAAAAACTTCACTGCTGAGTTAGGAATGATGCGAGCACAATTAGTGCCATTGCCTTTAAACATTCCCCTGAAACCCTCAGTTTTCCATATATATTTCAAACCCTGGAATGTTCCATTGTATTTTATACTATGAGGATTCTGCACCTGCAGGTACAGAAAGTAAATCCTGTGAGTCTACACTCAAGGAAAACATACAGCATATTTAAAGCTCTAACTATCACCAGAATTAACAAAACAGTGAATAGACATTAAGTTGAATCTTCACACTAGAAGAATGAGGAGACAAATAATGAAAGGGAACTAGAATATAACTTAATAGCATATTAAAAAAATGATAAATTAATGAAAAAGGACCTAATTACAATGATAAAATAAACAACCTGAAGTAAAATTTTTAATCTCTCTAGGGGAGCAACAGCACTACGTGACCTGAAACAGATATGACATACATTTAGGATTGAAAATTGGCAATGGAAATGGTAAGTTAAGCATAATCATAACACAATATAGATACAGCAGCAGTATTCCAGGATCCCAGCACAAGGTACAAGCATGACAAATGAAGAAAAGAAAACCATCCAAATATCAACATTGTAATATAATTCCCACCATTTTTCAGACAATAAAAATTGCAAGCAAACATTTTAGACACGGAATGAAGATATTCTTCACCTATCAACATCATGAGATTCAATCCTTCCTAAGGTCCTCCATTCAATTCTCACAACTACCATCAAAGCCACAAAAGTTACCATAACATTTCAGAAAGCATCAAATGCCACCGTGTTCACCATCCTTGAAGTTTAAAGACCATTTCAAACTCTCGTACCCTTACTAAGAGTAACCATATTGCCCAGAAGCTCTTGTTAAATACATCACAAGCTATTAAAATCCTAAACTACCAAGTTAAAGTCCTAAAAGGGGAAAAAAAGCTTTTTTTCTGAAGAATCAAGCAACGTGATGAAACTACTACTCTACAACAGATTAACTGTTAATTTAAACAAACATTATGTGTTTGGGAGAATTTCCATATCATTAGCAATTAATACCATACCAGACGGCGACCTGTACATGTTTATCATCCTTCAAAAAATGGGGGAAAAAGAGACCCCAATTCAATATTTACATAACCAGAGTTTCTTATAAAAAGAAAAGGTTCAAAATTTTAAATTTAATAGCTGAAATAAAGAACTAAACATATAGGAGAATTTCATCATAAAAAAGAAGAGTAAGAATTAAATTTTAACAAAAAAAAAATGTATACTTTATTGGATTAAACAAAATAGAGAGGAAAAAAAAAAGATACTTTTTTGGAGTGTTCAGGTTTCAATCTTCAAAATTAACAAATTCTATTAAAAAATCGCTGCTTTCTAAAACAAGGAAACGAATTTATAAGAAAATTTAATATTAAAAAATGTTTTCTAAAAGTGGAAAAAAAAAAAAAAAAAACTCAGTTGAACAAAGCAAAAACTAGAAGGAAAAACAAAGCTCATTTTTTTGGGTCAAGATTGAAGTAACTTAAATAACATAAAAAATTTTCAAAAGAAAGTAAAAATATGATCAAATTACTTCAAGGTAAAAAATTAAAAAGGAGGAAAAAGAAAAAGGAAAAATAAGCTAAAAGGGGATCTTAAAAAACAAAGGCGCTTACACTCCACCAGCGACACCACCAGCAACAAGAGACTTGCAAATACTAAGGAGGGCGTGACTCGGCGCTTTAACTCCTTCGCTAGCGAGCTTCGCTTCTTCCGCCAGATTCACGATCGTCGAGACCGCCGACTCGCTCCTTTTCACATCCTCAGACGCCATTTTCCGGAGAGAGAAGAATAAAATGAAAATGAAAATGAAAAAAAAAAAAAAAAAAAACAAGCCAGAAAATTAAATCGTCGGAACCCTAGCTTTCCGGCCAAAATATAGCGTTGACCGGACTCCGGTGATCAGCAAAGAAGAGAAGATCCTCTTTCCAGTGATTATGGGAAGGAGTGAACATAAGCAAGCATAGGCCAAGGAGTTAAAAAATATATATATACAAAAAGAAGGCGCTTCGGAGGAACAAAAGAACACAACTGTTGAGAGGTTTATAATTTAAGTAGCTTGTTATCTTTGTGATGTATTGATTATTTTTATTTTATTTAAATTTAAATAAAAATATAAATTAATATTTTTGAATTATTTACATACTTAAAATATATATAATATATAAATAATATAATTAAAACATTAAATCATAATAAAAATAATATTTTTCTTTTTAAATTCCATTTAAGGTTATAAGAAATTTTTTGTTTCATAATTGTAAAATTATCATAAAATTCATATCTTTTTTTTAAGGAATTTTGGTGAAAATTTTTTATGATTTTGAGGTTTTTTTTTTAAGTTAATATATAAATGAATTTGAAATTAATACTACTGATGAGACTATCACTTAATTATTTTTTATAATTTTTTTATGAAAAATAATATTTTGATTTAAAATTATGTTACATGTTTCATAATGAGAATATGAGTTGAAAAATTATTTATTTTTTGAATGTACAGCTTGCACATAAACTTATGTTTAAGACATATAACTCTATTGTATTAATTAATCAGAACATCATTTTATTTTATACAAATAAAAAATATTGAATAAATAATAAGTTAAAAAGATAAAATATATTACTTGATTAAGTGAAAAATCTGTAAAAAAAAAAAAAATTATAGACAATACCTATAAAAATATAAAAATATAAGTTTTATTGCAATTTTTTTAAAAAAATATTTCAACTGATTTGAAAAGAAAAATCTTATCTAATGGAGTGAATAATATGTTTAGTGAAATAGTACTTCATAGAATGAATAATATATTTAGTAAAATAAAATTTAGCATCAGAAAAAGCATATTAGTTCTTATAATAAGAATAGGCTAATAAAAAAAAAACGTTTAGCTCAGTATTACAAGAATTGCAAATCCTTAAGGGCACCATAATATTCTTGTCCAATTTAATGCCAAAAAATTAAAGAATCGAGCTTCATTTCTAAAAGCAATGAAAAAGGCTATTAAATTAATTGAGCAATTTGGATACAAAAAGATTTCAAATACAAATTGTAGGACGTATCGACGAAAAAAAAATTACACATGTCAAATGGATCCGAGAAAGTAGGGTTCCTTTACAACTCTAAATTATAAAACGATAATGAAATATACGATCAAACAACATTTATCGAATTTAAAAAAACGTAAGAAGAAATGGTTCGATCCTTTTATTTTGATTTATTGGATTAAGAGATTCACGAATCAATATCCTAATGCATATAGATACAAATGGTCAATGGGAGCACAAATTTTCATGAGCATGTGAAACATTTTGTTTTTGAGCAGAAGAGCCGTTTTCAAGTAATGTGGATATTGAAAAAATTATATAACTAAGAACTACTAATAATGACAATTTTCTTGAATTTTTTTGGTATTTATATTTTTTATATATTTTTTTATAAAATATTTTTAAAAATTGAAAATAATGTAAGAATTATTTATAAAAAAATATTAAAGATATTAAATAGTATTTTTAAAAGTTACGATAAATTTAAATACTTATATTAATTGTAAATAAATTGAAAAAAATAAATTACTTTAAAATTAATTTTAAATTAAGATAATGTGATGTACAAGAGAAACTTATTATATAAGAGAAATTTACTTAAAATTGTTTTGGTATTTATATTTTTTTTTCACATTCATTTGCGAAATATATTTAAAAGTAGAAGATAATGTACGAATTATTTATAAAAATATTAAAGATATTAAATAATATTTTTAAAAGTTGTGATAAATTTAAATTCTCATGTTAAGTCAAAATAATTTAGAAAATATAAATTATTTTAAAATTGATTTTAAATTGAGATGAGATGATGCATATGAGAAAGAAATTTCATTAAAATTTAAATTGATTTTTGATTAAATTTTAAAATTTTAGATAATTTAATAATTTTTAAAATATATTTTTTATAAATAATTTAAACTTAATAAATATATTATATGTCACCATAACAAAAAGTTTTAAAAATTATCTTAGATGTTAAAAAAAAAATCCATGTAAGTATTTATAGCAGTAATTGTTATATGGTAATTATATATATTATAATAATATATATATATATATATATATGTTTATAAGATATTGGAAAACTTGGGAAATGGATTTTTCATTTATAAATAACCGAAAAAACTAAAGCAGAAAATACAAAACTGTACGGTCGTCGCGTTTTACTTTTATTAGGAATAAACAGGATGATGAATTTAAATTATGTTTGGTTGATCTTTGCTTTAAAAAAAAAAAATCTATCAATTTTTAAAAAGTTTTTTTTTCTTTTTCTTAAGGGTCGCTTGGTGAAACAGTAATTTAAAATATATTGATTGATTTTCCTCATTTCTTAGTGAAAGATCCTTCACAACCAACTACAATTTTTTAGCTAATGGTACTAGTAGAAATAGTAATTTCTTTTTTCTAAAAAAAACTTTTATGGGAGTAGTAATAAATATTTATAAAAAAATGATTTTGAGTATTTTATTTTTAAATGAAATGATTTCATTACTCAAACTTGATTACGATCTTTCTCTAAAGTGTCAATTATTATATCAGGGTAATCCTCCATCAGTATTCATCCCTATCAGTAAGTAAACTATATTGTGCAAGTAAGTGAGCTGCTTTATTACCTGTTGGTCCCACATGTAGTATTTAGTAGCTGTCAAGCCTGGCCATGCTCCATCTGGCTTCATCTATAATAGTGCCGATAGGGGAAAGATCATCTTGAGCTTCTTGATTGCAGCCAATTAGTCACCTTCTAACAGCACTTTCGTAAAACCTGTATCCTGGGCAAATTGTATGGCAAGCACGGCAGTTTTAGTCTCAGCTTGAAACGGGTCACCAACAGGTCTAAGTCTGATCATTGCAATCTCCTCAGGGATCTCTGACGATAATCCCTGCCCCCTTTTCTCTCCTGTAGATTAAAGGATCCATCAAAATTGACTTTGAAAAAACCTTCTCTCGGTTGGGACCATTGATGATATATATTTTGTTTCCCCCCTTTCTCTAACTGTCCTCTTTTATACTCTGTTGTATATTGTTAAATGAAACTAGCAGTAGCCTGTGATGGCTTCTCCTTTCCTTGTGTTACTCCTTGTGTTATGCATCCCATATTCCCCAGATAGATGTCATGAACACTCCTAGTTGACCTTCGTTCAAGTTGCTGCTAACATTCGTAATCCAATCTTCAATCTTTGTGAAATTGTCCCAAATGTTCTGGTACATATGAAGCTGTCTCCAGATCTCTGAGGCATGAGAGCACTGTAACACTGCATGTATCATCGATTCTTCCCTTTCACCACATCGCATACACGTACTACTCATAGGAAGTCCCTTACGGATTAAATTGTACATTGTTGGGAGGGCTTTGTTGCATGTTCTCCAGTTCATCATCCGGATTTTTTTATGTATGTTTGCCCTTTAAACAATCCTCCAATCCATCTATAATCTTTGCTGCACCATATCACTTTCCATCCTTTTTTGTTGCCTTTCATCCATTAGCATTTTATATGCACTTTTGACAGTATACATGTCTTTTTGTCATGATACCATATTAGTGTATCTAGCCTGCTCATGTTGCTGATTGGAATCGCACAAATCATTTCCGCTTCATTCAACGTGAAGATTTCATGGATGAGTCCCATGTTCCATTTCAGTCTTTGATGGACCATTAGGTCTTCCACCATTGTTATCCCTTGTTCGCCCCCCCCCCCCCCCCCTTGGTGACCGCACTTTGAAAGGCTAACTCCTTGGTAACCAGGTATCATCCCAAATGTTGATACTCATGCATTTCCTACTTTCCACCTTAAGCCCTTGTACAATACTTCTCTAGCCATCCATATAATTCACCATGTGTGAGAAGGCTTGTTTCCCAACCGTGCATCTATGAACGTTGAATTAGGATAGTATCTCGCTTTTAACACCTGATTAACCAGTGAATTCGGTTTGAAAATGAGCCTCCATCCCTGCTTTCCCACCAAAGCCATATTAAATGCACCCATATCAAATGCATCCATATCCCTGAAGCCCAACCACCCTTTGATTTGGGTAAGCAAAGATCTTCCCATTTAAACTAGTGTATACCCCTCCCATTGAATCCTTCTCTCCACCTATAACTCCCAATTATGCTTTTGATTTCCTTGCACACTTTCCTTGGCAGAAGAAAACAATTCATCACATAAGACGGGACTGCTTGCAAAGCAGATTTAATGAATATCTCTTTCCCATATTGTGACAGACATCTATTACTTCACCCCTCTATCTTTGCTTTGATCCTCTCTTTAATCTCCTTAAAAGCTCTTGATTTATTCATTCCCACCATGGTTGGTAATCCCGGGTATTTTCTGGATTAGCTGTGTTTTCCACCCCAAAAAGTGCCTTAATACTCTTTCTCTGATCCTGTCCCGTGTTTGTACTAAAAAACAGTGCTAATTTGTCGAAATTAACCTGTTGTCCAGAGCCCTATTCATATTTCTGTAGCATGGGCTTCATCCTCTCACCTTCACTTAATGTTGCCTTGGCAAACAATAAACTGTCGTCTGTGAAAAAAATGTAAGTCACTATGGGCCTAGTTCGACTGGCTTAAACACCTTTAATGGAGCCCTCCCTCTGAGCTTTAGCTAACAAGGATGATCGGCCTTCATTGCATAATAGAAACAAATACGAAGATAGCGGGTCTCCTTGTCGTAGACTCCTTCCTGGTCAAAATTTGTTAGAGATACTATCATTCATAACAACTGAGTA